GTTCAAGAGAGCATGGCTCAATGCAACAACTCAAGGTTTAGAAATCAGTGAGCTGGTTGTCTAGTTGTACGGAACCATGGAGGTAATATGGATTGTGGGAGAATTTTGGTTGTTTCAATTTGTCATCATTAAGACCAATCACCAATATAGTGGGATTTAACTTGTACCTCACAATCAAGCAGGAAGTGAATGAGTTACTGGTGTTTTTGTGCAGGGTGGACTGTATTTTATCTAATCTTACTCTAGTCTAAAATCTATATATCAATCTATATCCTTTCAGGTCCCTTACCATATCAGTTTAGGTGCAGATTTTCAGCAGTTGCAGCTTAGTGTTTCTTACCTAAAGGAGCTAAATATTGTGTATATTGCACTTTTTTAAAAATGAAAGCAACAACAGATTTGATAGGCTCAAGAATTCAGGTATTTTACCAAATCTACTTGTATTTTTGTGTAAACCATGATACAGAGATGCAGTGAAGCAGCTGAGAGAAGATGCTGCCATTTGGCTGAGGCTGTGTTTGCACAGTTTGTGTGTGTGTGTGTGTGTCTAGGGGCCAGGAAACATGTACCGGAGATGTGTGTGTGTGTGTGTGTCTAGGGGCCAGGAAACATGTACCGGAGATATGCAGGGTGGATTTGCCTATAAACCCACTTCTGGAGTCTGAAGCACAGTTGGTAGGATGAATGGAGATGGCAATGGAAAAGGAGAGTTGAGGGGTCTGCGGTTGGGGCGTACGCCAATAACAGTGGTTGAGGATCTATATTTGAAAGGTTATAAAAAGCCTGTCAATTCCCTTAAGTGAAGCAGTGCGAAGAAAATAAAGAGGATGAGAAGGAGAGAGGTAATAGGACCAGCAGGGGAATACAGGAAATAGACATTATTGGCAGTTAAGACAGGGGAAAGACATCTGCGGAAGGAGCGGTAACCACACGAAGACATGGGATCCAGATGGGAGCGAAAAAAAAAGGTAGGCAAATGTGATTATCTCAGTGATGTGAGCAGATGAGTCGCAGAAGATAAACAACAATGCAGCAAGACTGAGGAGAAAGTTGAAAATCCAAAAAGCGGTGTGAAGATTGTTTTACCTATAAGTAATTATAACCCTTCAGAGAAAACACATCACAGCTGGGAGATGCAGTAATTATGGGTCTGGGAAAGAACTCAAACAAACATCCAGCTAAGCGCATATGCAACCTTTACAATGCAAACAGAGAGAGAGAGAGATAGCATGTGGGAAGCAATGGATGATCAGAGCAATCAGAAGAAGGAAAAAAACTGAAAAACATAGGAATCCTCCTCAGCTAATGGCAGGCCTGCCAGCAGGAGAAACCCAACACAGCAGGATGACCTTTGTGGAAGGAAAAAGGGGTGGAAGAGAACTGAAAAGATGAATGACCTCCAACCGATGGTTTAGTTGGCAAAAAAAAAAAAAGATGTGCTGGCTTCATTTGTGCAGCGATTCTGTTCGTCCACTCAAACAATGGGGCTCCATCAAAAGCACAAACACAGCAAGTAAATATTGTGTCTATCTGGGATTGTAGGTTTTTACTCTTTGATGCGCACACATACCAAGAAAAAGACCATGTAAGTACGAGTGCAGTTCTTGTTGTGGTATTGTTAAATGCGATCCCCTAGATTTACTAAGACCATGTAGAAGGAGCCACGAAAGTAAAAAAAAGTTCATAACCTGCCAGGGAGAAGTTAAGTGTGGTGTTCTGCTCTACCTCAACAACTGTCAAGGTGCCTTTCACTAAAGTATTTAAAGCTGCATCTGCTTCAGAGAAAGTGATCTCTCGAAAACTGTATAAATGCCTTTTTATTAGATGGGTTTCACATATAAAAGCAAGCAAAGAGTTACAAATTCTCTCTTTGAATAGCAAAATCGGACCCACGATCATATAAATATTAACAGTCTCTTAAGTCCCTGTGCTACGGGGCATATTTACTTCAAGAACTGACAGTTAAAGTGAATATGAAGTGGATCCTGTTGTGACCAAATCATCCTCAGATGATCAAATCACTCCAGACCTTCAAGCCTCCCTGTTCCCCTCCTTAGCTTTAGTCACACAAACCACCTCAAATGGGCTTTTTTTTTTTTCTATATTATAGTGAATTATCTCCTCAGAAGGTTGAGATAAAGAGAGTTCTGTTTGCAACTTTCTGGATCGACATCAAACGGCCGGTCTATTGGTGATGTGATGTGGTGTGGCGCAGATGATCGAGCTGCTGATTCAGCGAGTTTGGAAACCAGAAACCAAAGACCCTCGATCCCCTGCCTCCACTCTCAACCATACTCTGTCAAACTTCCCTTTAATCCACATCGACCCCATGCATGCCAGACACACACAAGCCACCGCCACGACCGTCTCTCCCTCCCCTCATCCCCTGACCTCCTTACCCCTGGGAAAACCGTGCAAACTCTCATCACCGCTCACCACACCTCCGTCTCTAATTTAACCAGAAACCTCATGTTTGGTGCCAAGCAAGCCCTGCCTCAGATGATCCCCCCCGACGTAACCTCCGATGTTGAAACTAAACTCGGTGTCGACGTTACCTTACAATCAAGCTGCGAGTCACGGATCTCAAGACTTGAGGATGGAAATCAAATAACTGCACATTAAGATCAACCGTCATTTGGGTTTCCACAAATGAAGCCAATTCAAACTGATGTGCCACAGCCAGAGTTTTCAACAAAAAAAAAAAAAAAAAAGGAGGGGGAATGGAAAGGAAATTGCGCACACTTTCACTGGCATGTTTTAGCTCTACAATTTTCAAAAGCAACAAGATTTGATTTCTTTCAAGTGCAAGGCCGCCTACTACATGTTTTCAGACTGAAACAGCTTGGTCCTCATAAACATATCCCAGTTGGGTTTGTCTCTTTTTACCTTTTTGTTTAACAGTTAGTGTCTCTGTTCTCGTGTTCTAGCCTACTGTGAAAGTCACACCTCCAGACACAGTTGCAGTCAAAACATCCCAACAACAAACAGACTTATGCTTTGTGATGCCTCACGTGTAGGTATAATATAATTTGATGTGGTATATTCACGGCAGATTAAAGGGAGCGAATTGCATCGCAGACCCACCATCTCATTCATCTTTTGTGGTAGCCGAGGTTGGTTGGTTACTTCTCTGTTTCCACACTAACTCAGTGACTAAGCAACCATGAGGTCCCTGCCAGTGTTTCTGATGTCCATTTATCATCCATAAGACACACAATTTGCATGCAGTTTCCTTGAATCTCGCTTTTCTCTTACAGAGACGGCAAATGTAAAGAAAAAAGATTCATATGCATGGATTTGTCTGCACTAATGAACCTTCTACATAAATGACAAAGATGAAAGATGTGAACTTTGGATAATTCAGGAGAGGGAAATCTAATAAAAAATGAGTTTGGGGTTTGGGGAAAATAAGGGGCATTGTAAAAAATTTTAAATGTTTGGATCAGGCATTGGTGGAAAATAATAAAAATTATTTTCTGATTGATTTAATCAAAAGGAATTTGTTGGCAGGATCAATTCTGGCACACAAATGCCAGTTTTTCTGATTTACGTTCTGCTAAAAGAAGAAGAATAATAATAAATAGATTTGTCTACCACTGTAGACCATGACATGATATGGAGACAGCTCCTTACTGGTTATCAGATCAATATTTTCAACCATGACTGCACTGGCAGACACAATAAAGTTTGCTGGTTGAATGTAAAGTCATCAATAGTCCCTTTGTAACCTATAAAATGCAGAGTAGAGCAACTCTGCTGTACCTTTTGCAAAGAGTTCAGTGTGTGTAATGAAAAAGGAATGCATACAAAGGGGAGCTGGACATAAGAAAATCACTTTTTAAAAGACAAAAATAAGGATGAAAAATAAATATCTCAACACTCTCAGAGTAAGGGAGGTGTACGATGAGGATGCTGCAAGAGTCCAGCATGTCAGTGTGATCTTAAGCCTGGGCCAAGAGGGACACCTAGTGGTTAGTATACAAAAGACAGCAAAACTTCAACATTCTCATACTGTGACTCGGCACACAGATTTAAAGTACAGTCAAGCCCCAAACACTCCCAGTTTGACAGGAAACCTAAGAAAACAAGTGCAAATTGGTGTCAATTTGTTTCTAAAATCACATTTTCCTGAGTAAAGCAGGATTTCCTTCACTGCTTTAAAACTTTGTGTTGTGTTGCTGCTGACAGGTCAAACTGTGACATCAAAAAAATTAAAATCATAAAAATGTATCGGCAAATTGACCTTTTTGGAGATAATATGTGTGACATTTTGCAAGTAAATGAACATGCTTGGTGCTTGAACTGATTTGAAGCAGTGAAAATCTCAGCGATGTGGATGCAACCCAGCAGTCTAAATGTAAGTTGAGAAAACATTTGTGTTACAATGCTGAATGTGAACTGGATTGTGTCACTGGATCCAGAAGCATGACAGATTATATGTGCGTTTGCATGGTTTTACAAATATCTAATGCTCATATACTCTACTGTCACATACTTTCTGTTTTCCTAACTGTTGTTGCCAACCATAGAGTCTGTATGTGTTTGCTGACTGATGACTCCGTTTTCAAATAACTGAGTCTAATTAGCGAAACAGCTTTCCATCAAGATAAAGGTCACTTGATTATTGGAAAGGAAACTTCCTTGCCTATTATTAACAGAATTATTGATGTCAAGATATTAAGGGACAGCTCATAAATCTCCATTAGTGGTTGTTTCAGTAGGCAATAGGAAGGCCTAAAGTCCCATCATGTTATTTAGGTCACCACTTCTTAGATCATAAACACTGAGGTCTGAGAACCGCCATAAACATTTGAGCTGTGGAGACGATTCATTTCTTAAAAGGGCCCCGACTGGTTCCTTTAAAACCTTTTCCTCATTCTGTGGTAAACTTGCTTAACTGGTTTGGTTTGTTTCATAGTCTGTATACATTCACATGCATGCTACATTTTTTTGTACAGTTTGTCGCAGCTTATAAATGAGTAAAATACATGAAATCCGTATTTGTTTTAAGCAAATTATAATAAACACAATTTATGACACACTGCATATTTGATGCGTTACATGAATTACCTTCTTAGAGTGCAAGAAGAGCTCTTCATAAACACCTAGACAAATATTACACAAAACCTGAGAGGCAAAGATACAAAAGGCATGTTACCTGTAACTCTGAAAACAACTACATATATTTTTAAAAATCACTTTCATAGAATAAACACACATAAAAACTCATTCAATCTATTAAAATGTCACAGTCAAACTATTTGAAGGTAAAAATAATGTCTGAGAATGCTCACACAATGTTCTTAATTGAAGACCTGATAGATTAGATGGATGTCATACTCCATACTGCTACCATATTGGCATGGCTCTAATCCAACAACATTATGAATGTAATATCTTTTTAAAATGCTGTATCGGAACCCGTCTGCGTACAAGACAAAGCAACAAAAGAAGAGGTGAAATTCTGCATTATTGACTTATCAAGCTAAAAACAGGAGTTACTGAGGTACTTTTGAAAAAAAGTATCCTAAAATAAGTGTACAAAGTGCTTTTGAGGTTTTGGTAGTCAACACAACTCAGCTAATGAGGGGATTGTTCTCATTCAGTTCTTCAATAGCATTGTCGTCATCTGAGACTGAAGGCTCTGGACTTCTGTCCTCTTTGGCAACATCTGTTCCAATCAGACCCACCACCCTGAAATGTGAAAAAAACAGGTGTAAGAAAAGCAGAAAAAACACATCGCTGCTATCAGTTACAGCTTAACAAGGCAAATGTCGTCTCTGCAGTGTCAGCGTAGCTTCTTTCTGCAAACCTGCATCAGTTCTGCTGCATTTGACACATTTCAATTCAACATATTTTTACCTATTACAGTTACATTGTTACAAAAAGGCATAAACTCCAATCAAGATGAACAAAACATATCCTGTCTTTTTATATCACGCACACAGTACAGTACATGATGCACCTTTTTGTTGTTGGATCCTTCCTGGTTTTCTCTTTTATCCAAATGATTACTAAACAAATGGGATCGGGATCTTAAAAATGGGTATTTAGTCAGGTCGGTCTCAATCAGTGGAAATAATTTGATTTCTAGGAGTACATTGTATTTATGTGTTTTTTAAGTGACAAAATCTAGAAAATTAGTAGCACATCATGAAAGGCTGTACATAACTCGTGAAAAACTGCTTGAAGCCAACACAGAGAGTTTATTTTTGTTGCTGTTAGCCAAAAATTACTGAACCAGTAACTTTGTTATTTTACAACTAACCCCAATGTAACAGAAAGAGAAGCCATGTGAGAGGAGTGGACTCACTCAAGGAGTTTAATGCAACACGCTGCACCTTCCAGAATGACTAAACAGCACTATTCTATCAACTCAAGTGTAACAACACAAACCAAAGAACACAGTGTATGAAAGATAAGAATCCTCTTTATGGCCTCTTCTTGTTATTTTTAAAGACTGTCAGTGCTGATGGTTAATGTACATGTCAGGGATTTATAATACGATACAAAAAGAGACATTGTTTGGTGAAGAAAGTCGAACAAGGGATGAGGAAGTGAGTATTTCTACTTTTCTGAGTCAAGCAATGCAATCCTCCCTTCAAGTTCAGCAAAACTGACTAACAGTGACTTCGCAGAAAAAAGAGATGTTTGTAATTCAACTCCATCCACAAAGTGCAACTCTGCAGCTGAAGCTTCAGCATAATCTGCTGTGGTTTTTACTGTAGACACTAAAAATAGCTTTGAATGAAAGCTTCCCACCTTCAGCCCATCATACAACATTAACATAATCTTATCAGCAGGACACTACAGTGTCATGGCTCTTGGATGGTACCTTGAATACACTGCTGACTGTAGAGTTTTGAAAATGGAGAACAGTTACTGCTTACACAACTTGGTTAAAAATAATGTGGGACTTGCTGTGGATGATCTTTCTGAAGCATGTTTTAGGTAGGTGGCTACAGGTTTAATTTATGACACATTATAATGAATGGGAACCAATAATGCCTGACAGGTGCAACAGGAAATTAACTGCGAAAATGTATGGCTGTTTGGTTTAATTATGTAAAATATTCGCACACATACAGTTTATGGTTGACATGATTGACAAAATGATTAACTTACCCCAGAACAAACAAAGGAATGGCACAGAGTCCTGCAGACAACAGGAAGACAAAGCCTGGATACCATGCCACTGTGGCAGCATAGACACTGTTGAAGACTGCTGAGGATACATTGTTGGTCAAACTCTCCAGAAAGGAAAGAAAGGCAAACAGGGCGCCTGCAAAAAACACAAACAGGAGAGACGGAAAATTCTTGTTAAGAATTAAAAACAGCAAATGATATCTAAAATTGAACAGTCTAGTTTCAGGATTCTTTGTTAAAAGGAACAGAAACTTGGAGTGTTTCGTTTTTAAGTGCACCCTGAAATCGCTGGTACAGGCAGCTGGCCACTGGACTCTGACTCAATAAACACAGACACGGGACTACGGTTCATGAAGAGTCCAAAACCCACTCACCCTGCTCAGACTTGGAGATGATCTTTGAGATCATGGAGCGCAGAACAGGGAAAGGCATGATAGACAGAAGCATCGGTATCCTCACTGTGGTCGAAGAATAACAGAAGATTAAAATCACATTATATATCATATCACTGCAGTTATAATGAAACAACATCAAATTGGAGATGCATGTATCAAAATTAAGGTATATTAATATATCACTGTTGTCTAAGGTTATGTTTGAAACACAGTCATCAAAAATATTAATTTATTTAAGCCCTCTCATTTAGATATTGGCTACAAGATAATTAAAATAAACAAACTAGTGATAATATATGGTCATTATATTGCCTTGAAATGCAATAATCTCATAAAAGACATTGTTACTCTAGTAGCATTTTCACACCTTGTAAAGCCGTTGTGCAGGCAGCTTTTGTCAATCAGTAACCTGTACAATGAGCCTGTAATGTTTTTATGGGGGTGTTCCTCTGTTTTATGTGCTCTTCATATATTTTCTGCTGCCAAGATATCTCTGATTTTTAATATGTTATATCCTGTGTTTTTATACCTGCCTGCCTGAAATCAATAGTCGAGTCACCAGAAGAAACACTGAAAAATGGTTTTGCAAACTGTAATCATTAACTCTGTTAATAATAAACATCAAAACATCCCTTTCTTACATAATTCCATGGGACAAAATCCACAGTTCTTCTGCCATGCAAAAAAATAAAATAAATGCATTTAAAACTTCCTCTGAAAGTAGCATGAGTCTTCTATATACTGATTTAGAGGATTAAAGACTAGATTGAAATATATTCATTTCCCGAATTCAGAAGATCGCTACAAAGAACGAGGAAGGTGGATTTTGTTCTCTGTGCACTTGACTGAGAGAAAACAATGCTGTACATTATTTGTATAAGCAGAACAATAGTTAATTTTCTTCCTCACCTATAAACATTAATAAGGTTGTCTTGGCAAATGCCGCGAGGACCATGCCTGATGCGACGGACAGGATCCCCAACAGGACAATGAGCAGCTGTGGTACGCCACAGTATGTGAGTGCTGACACTCCCACAAAACTGACCAGGAACACTGTGGTGGACAGCGCCGAGCCATAGCCGATCAGAATCTCACTCCAACACAGCGGCTCATTGAGCTCATACAGTGTCAGCAGCGAGATCCCCCCTACGTAGGCAAAGGAGAAGCTGGTAAAGATGGTCATCAGGAGGGCCAAAACATTTCTACACCTGCTGCTGGCCCGTGCAAACATGTAGTAGACCCCAAAGAGCATCTGTTTAATGGCCGAGTGCTGAGGAGGCCCATCTAAAACGACGCTGTCAGTGGGAGCCTTCTTCACAGTCTCTTCTAGGATGAATATTGCATAGAGCAGGATCAAACACTGACATAGTGCAGAGGTTAGGAAAGGCCAGTTAAAGCCTGCAGCTCTCAGGAAGTAGCCTGTTGATATTGCTGCCACTCCGGACAACAGGCCGATCATCATGTCCAGTCCGGCCATGCGCAGCGTCTTCTGGTGGCCATCCTCACACAAGTCGGCTATATAGGCAAAACAGCCTCCGAGAAATGTGCCCAAACCACCAAACAGAGAACTGAGAAGTGAGGAGGCGATGAGCAAATAAATGTTGAGCTCAAAGTAGGACACAGTCAGGAAGGCCAACGTATAGATCAACGTGCCGACCAAAGGCATGATGATGGTGATCTTGCGTCCTCCCCGGTCGCTGTAGGCCACCAGCATGAGAGTGACGACCAACGATGGGACTGTGGAGAGGAGCTCCGAGTAAAGGGAGAAGAGAGACGCCTGCCTCTGTACCTCCTGGAAATGCAGATACAGAAAGTGTGGTTTAGTAATCTAAAAATCATCTATGGTTGACACTGCACTATATGAATTCAATTGCAACAACACATCTTAGAAGAAGAAAAAAAAACTCAAGTTGGCAGCTATCTGTCAAATGACACAAATTAAAGGAGAAAATGAGACTCCAGTGCCATGAAATACGACACGGAAATGAGAGGACTTTGAGGTTTTCTTGTTCAGGTCTAAAGGAACAAAGCTTTCTGCAGGGTAACAGGTGCATGAGTATTTTTTTTTACAGTCAAAACCGGTTTTCTCAGTCCATGTACGTTCTCACTTCTCATTTTTCTTTTATTCTTCCTCTATAAATACAAGTGAAACATAGAAACATTACAAATCCTTACAGAAGTATATTTCCTCTAATCTTACTTATAATATGTTGTGCTTCAACGACTTACTTGCTGTAAATTAATTGTAAACTGTAATTAATTGTAAACTGTAAATTCCCTCCCTCACTCACTCGGCTTCCTTCACGTGCTTCCTGGTGTGGCCTGTTTCCCCGCCTTGAATAAATCCCTCTTTTCTACACACCTAACCCTTTGTTGCATTTTTGGATCCCTATCAGACTGATCCGTAACACTTTTCTATTTTCTGTTAGAAATACACTTTGCTTTCTACAACACAGAAACCATGAAACAACAGTGCCTGGATCAGCGTCACATTTTCTTATATTAACAGTTTTGATTCTATCACAAAATTTCAGTTCTTCTTTTGCTGAAAATGTTATTCTATAATACTGGAGAAGTTAATATCTGTACCGCACTGTGCAAACGTTTTAGGCACTTCACATGTTTAGATATTTATCCATCAGGGATGCAAATAATGCCAAACATACAGCCAGAGTCAGTAATAACTATCTTTACAGACAAGGCGATCATGATCGTCGTAAGAGATGGTATAGGCCCCAGAGCCCTGATTGAAACATCATTTTATGCCAGTCTGGGATCACTAAAGGGAGCAATTAAGACTAGCTGCATTTACAGAAGAACAAGTTCTACGAGATTCGTGGAACAACCTCAAATTTTGGAAAACTGTACACCTAAAAGAATTAGTCCTGTGCGAAAGGCAAACGCCTTTAATACGCACTGGAAAAATAAAACTACTCATGGCAGTAGGTTTGAAAGGATATTTTCTTTATATTGGGTACCTAAAACTCTGCGTAGTACAGTAATTGTTAGCTTGCTTCAGTGGAGGGGACATAAAACCCAGTTGTTCCAAATATTCTTCACTGACAATCCTCTTTAATCAATGCTCCCTTACAACCAGCGATGAAGGACCAACCTGCTGAAAGACTGAGTGGTTGCTGCTGCTGTTTGCTGCACATCTGGAGGTGTTTCCAGAGATGGGATATGTGGTGTTTGTCAGCTGTTGCCAGAGCCTCCGGTACACGTACTGCTGCACGAGCGGATAGATGAGGAAACTGGAAAAAGCGTAGAGGGCCACCACAGGCTCCACAAGGGAAAGACGCTTCATTTTGAGGGGCTGAAAAACTCCCTGAAAGAAAGAGATGCAGAGAATTGATTTAGAGATGAACATGAACAGAGATTATATAAAATACTGCAAAGAAAAATAATAATAATAAGATTAAAGTACACACAAATGAGGTTGATCTCTAAAGTGTGACTGTACATTGATGTGGCACAGCCATTTTTGTTCTACAGTTAAAACAAATTCTGAATATCAAATAGTTCAGTAAAGATTCCTCTATTGTTGCAACCTTCAACAATTAATCATAGTGTGTAGACTGAGCAGACAGGACCACTCTACTTCGTCCTAAAAACTGCAGAATTAATAAGTAATAACAAAGAGTCTACGTGGAAGTACAGATATTTGTTTGGTTGTTTTTCTGGTGACCATCAGATAGTATGCACTAAATTATAGATGCAACATTACTTGACAAGTTGAAACATAGCGCAGAATGCAAGATAAAAACCTTGTTCCTGGAAATACAGCAGTTGTCTTGCAGGATGAGCAAGGTCAGGTCAATATTTACAGAACCCACCGAAAGAGAACGGCTCAGCATTCGCCTTATTTATATCTAAGATGTTAGAAAGGCAACCTGTAAGTGTGGCACCTACCTATTTAAATAGTCGCATGTATCATGTTCTTTCAGTTAATTAAAACCCGGACAGTATTGTGTTTACGAGCCGGGTTGCTTCTCTTGCTTTATACCGAACTGCGCGACGTTACAAAACGACTTAGACCCCGCCTCCTGTTCATCTGATTGGACGATAGTTTCTCAAGGAAGCGCTTATTCGATCAGACCACCTGTCAATCATGAGTAAGAGTGGATGAGAACATTCTGTGACTTTCTGCATTGGGCCGGTATTACTGCTTAGTAACATGTTTTTTAAATGTGTTCCTTCAATTTCCACTGGGATCGTTATGCAGAATGTTTCATTCAGGTACTTTAAATGAATATAAAGTGTAATAAATGCTCCAGTTTTTAAATGGTATTACGGTAGCGTGAGGAAGGCGTGCTTTGCGTCGGAATGTACCATTATGCCAACACACCGGGAAGGATTTTGTTGTGACAGCGGAGTAAGAACCCGGCGGGGGAGACGGTAAGACGAGATACGCTGTCCTTCTTCTGTTTTTAATTTAAATAAAATCGGCGGTTGTAAGATAAAGCAAAAATGCAAATAAATATGCAGGTGCATATGTTTTATATGGCCGAGTTGCTCATATGTATCCGCGAGTAACTGACAGTTTATCACCCCGGACGTACAGGTAGAACCACCATCAAAATATTGTAAGCTAGCGAATCATAGCCGTCTCTGTGATTAATCTGGCTAACTTAGCTAACGTTACCAGCTAGCGTTAGATAGGTGAAAGACACTAAGCTGCTTTCGATTTGAAATTTGCATCTCTCTTGTTTTATTTGCTGGTGTCCAATCGCACAAAATGTAGTATTTGATGCTAACTGACGGTTAAGCTGGCTAGCGTTAGCTTCTCCTTCTGCAGTTGCAATATGAAGTCGTGACTGTCCGAGTCAGGATGGATGATATTTCAGTCACCCGGCCTGGCTGCTAACTGTCGTTAACGGTCGCGTTGCCCTGATGCTTATAATCTGCAGTTGCTTGCGATATTCACTTTACATTGAGATTGGTTTGTCCTAGGTGTGGGCCTTAGCTATGTCCGCAATTGATAGCGTATTAGACTTTGGATTTCGCAATGTAAGTTTCCCAGTCGTTCCGGATCACGCAAGGTATTGCTTAATTAGTTGACAGATTTCCTTATTAGTAATGCTAGTGGATTCTTTAGGAAATATTGAAATGCAATCTAAAAACCGTATTGTCTATAGTCAGAGTGGTGTGCACTTTTTTTGTCCCTAAAAATCTTTAGGAATCCAAGCTATGCAATACAATATGTATTCTGTTTTAAACCAGTCATCCAGAAAAACGCCTATTGATTGGGTTTTTCCCTTTTTGTAATCTCTCCATCAATAATAAACAGAGGATCTGACTCTGTTGTTTCCATCACATTGCAGATGTGGCATGTGATTGAGAATATCGCTTGTCTGATCTGCTGTCCATCATTGTTTTTGCTTTCCAGGTCATAACATAGTTTTTTTCATCTCGGAGCAACAATGGCCTTCAGCAAGGGATATCGCATTTACCACAAGCTGGATCCACCACCTTACAGTGTCATAGTGGAAACTAGGACCAGGGAGGAATGCCTCATGTTCGAATCAGGCGCTGTTGCTGTTTTGTGTAAGGCATCTTGTCTGATTACACTGCAACAACATGTTAAATGTTCTTTAAACCCTTACCTCAAATAAGGGTTCTGCAAAGGAGATTCACTACAGTAGACTAATTCTTGAATATTTAGTGATGAATATGAGTCTGTACAAAGATGAAGTCACAGGCTATATTTAACTTAAAGTTCAAGGGAGAACACTATCAGTAATATTCCTACATTTTGTTACTTCTGTTCATCTTCTAGCCGCAGCAGAGAAGGAGGCCATTAAAAATACATACAGCAAGATTGTTGATGCCTATGGAATTCTGGGTGTCCTTCGCTTGAACTTGGGTAAGTAAAAAAAAAAATTTTAAATTCAGTTTGTTGCCTCTTGACTAGGTCCAATCCAGGTTTTGATCTCTATGTTCATGTGACTGTGAAGACCCTCTGGTTTGTGGCCCTGTTGCTGCTTACTTCTAAGCTGCTTTTCCTGCCCTCGATACGACCTTGAAGGTTCTTGTTATCACAACAAGGAAGAAGCAGTTTAAAGACTAAAGCTCAGTGTTATAGATAGCTGAGATTTGACTGGTTACTTTCTATGAAGGAATGGCATCAAAGTTTAATGAACCTTTTTTTTTTTAATCCTGTCTTCTAATAGCTAATGTTTATTCTCTTAATGCTTTTGCGTACTACTTGCTGTCCTCCTTTTTTCTTCAGAATAAACCACACATAATCATTTTTTGTTTTTATATGGCACTTTTTTTCTGCAGGTGACTCCATGCTTCACAGTCTCGTGGTTGTAACAGGATGCAGCTCTGTGGGCAAGGTGCAGGACTCAGAGGTTTTCAGAGTCACACAGACAGACTTTATTTCTCTGAAGAATGACCCAGGAGATGAAGACCGGATTGCTGAGGTGCGAAAAGTCCTTAACTCAGGACACTTCTACTTTGCCTGGTCTTCCACTGGAGTCAGCATGGACTTGAGTCTCAATGCACATCGCAGGATCTTAGAAGACACTACAGATAACCGCTTCTTTTGGTAAGGGCATGTAATTATCACTATTCCAAGATTATATAGACACTAGTAGGCAGGATTTTGATTTAAATGGTGTCTGAAAGAGTAGATAAGAACCATGTACAGTTTTACATTTGAGAAATATTAGTTTCTCTTGAATGCGTGATGTGGGGGATTATGTGATTTGCAACTAAAATTTGTGTGTTTACTGTTGTGTCTGTCTGTATGAATCAATAGGAACCAATCTCTGCACCTGCACCTAAAACATTACGGAGTAAACTGTGATGACTGGCTGCTGAGGCTGATGTGTGGCGGTGTGGAGATCAGGACCATCTATGCAGGGCACAAACAGGCCAAGGCCTGCATCTTTTCCCGCCTCAGCTCAGAGCGAGCCGGCACTCGATTCAATGTCCGAGGAACAAATGATGACGGACAGGTGGCGAACTTTGTGGAGACTGAACAGGTGAATCACATTTTTTTACAGTTTATTTAGACCAATCGCGCTTCAAAGATGTAATGCTGCCACAGAACAGGAGGCAGTGATAAACATATTCTTCACACTAAAAAAGCTTTAGCCATTTTTTTTGTTTTTTACATAATGAATCATATATATTTATTCATAAAGTCACATTGTTAACACGGTATTGACAGTCCTAATGCCATTACAAAATTACATTCCTTCTAACACTGGAAAATGTTGCATAATATAGTAAAGGGTAATATCAGTATGGTACTGTGCAAATGTTTAGTCACTTTAGATGTTTAGATTGTCATCCATCATACAGTACCTTTTGAGAGGCGTCTGATTAGTCTTAAATTGATTTTGCGATCACACAAATAACCCCAAACAGAAAAGCCACTGTCTTTAAGTACTGTAATCAGTGACAAAAAGAACAAGGATTCACAAAACAGATGGAATTGACCTCACAGGGTCCTAAGAGTTTTTTGTAACTATAAAAAAATATATATATGGTAATGGTAATAATATATCAGTTTAAAGAATGTCTCACAGGTGAGTATTTTTTATTGCTCTGTCAGCAAATCGTCCAAAGACACGTGCTTATTTAAAAACGCAAGCTTAACTTTCAGTTCTTCATCGTGGGAAAATAACTTAGTTGACACGTTCCCTTTTTATAGTTCCCGTTTAAGTAAAAAAGGAGGGACACAATAACTGGAAATACTGCAATTATAATGCAGTTCAACTACACTATTTTGTTGTTTTTAAAATTAGCATAAAGGTCTGTAAATGTCTGAATAGAAGTTGAACGTTACTAGCTTCAGACATTTAGTGGTAATTGCAGGAAGTTTTGTATTAGAAAGTATTGTATTGTCACTGGTTAGTTTGGCCAGCCACAGTCAGACACTAACCCTAACCCTAACCCTAACCCACATCTGCATTTGACAGCCAGTTAATCTGGACCCATCCCATACCTTGTGTTATGATACAAAATATTACGATGTGCAACATTTTCTACTTTAAAATAAAATTACCTGTAGATCAATACATTTTTAGTGATGTTGAATATACAATATTGCAGGAGACTGATAACAGTGATTCTGTCCACAGATTATTGTGGTCTGTTCTGTTCCTTATTTCCCTTTTATTGACATTGCTGTCATGGCAACAGTGTTGTGTGTTGCTGCTGCAGACCTCATGCATTAAGTCATGCATGTGCTGCAAATATGTCTGAGTCAGAAATCATATGGATTAGCTGTCTGAGCTGTGTCTGCTTCAGTTTGTGCAGGCCCAGTCACAAGAGATGTGACATTTCTGGTGTATGCACAAGTTCAGAGTTCACACTGATGCAAATACCATGTCTCCCTGTAGGTTAGAATGTAATGTGACTATCCTGATTGTCTTGTACTTCAATGCATATTGCTTAAAATTTAAAAGAGCTGGTAGCTGCTCTACATATGACACAGTGCCTGTCATTACAATTTATCTTTTACATTTCCTTTTGTGTTGAAATATAGCCACAGATGCGCACATGCTGACACAGTTTGTAGCCCAGTTCTGTAATTACCCTGTATTGCATTATTCAGCCATAGAGATCGATGTTTTCCTTCTAACTCACCTGTTTAAATTGTCATTTCTTTCCTTAAAACGTGTCTTACTGATGTATAAATCAGTATTTTCGCACATTGCAAATAAACGTAACCAAGTTTTTTTGTGTTTTGAACAGGTTATTTTCCTGGATGACAGAGTTTCATCCTTCATACAGATCCGTGGGTCTATTCCTCTTTTCTGGGAACAGCCAGGAATCCAGGTAATGAAAGCTAAATCTGTCTCATACAGTTTGCCTTGAATTGTGAATGTGAGGTTTTCATATATTAAGCTACATTATATGAGAATCTGAAAGTAGTCCTGATGCTTTTGTAGAAGCCTAATTTCATTTATTCTGCAGGCATAAACGAGACTCAGTCAGCATCAGTGACCAAATGATCAACCTTTTTTTGAGAATGTGCGAGTTAAAATTTCAAGTGGTCGCATTGGTGCGAATGCATGATGATCATTAAGCTGCATTAGTGTCGCTGTAACCGATGCAGACAGTTACTCTGTTAATCACAGTAGTAGAAACAAGTACTTTTATGACTTCAGTTTACTGCAGTATTCATGCTTAAAAATGCAGTCTTCTCGTGAAAAGCAGAGCGAACCTAAATGCGCTGTTTATTCCGCTCATAGAAAAGACCGCATGTATAAAAAAAATCACTCGGTTTCATCTTGGACAAATCTGACATTAGAACGCCCTAGTTTTGAGGTCGCACACCTGTTTGAGCACACCACAGCCACCTCGCAGCAGCTACCACAGCTTGCAGTGTGCGGTGTTTAGGGAACATCGGTAAATTGTAGAGTCGATCAATAAGAAAATGTGCAGTCATATGTTTTGCCTGTGACAAGGTGGGAGGTGCGACCAAATGAGAAAGTTGGTCGCACTGGTGCTACCAGTGAAAAAGTTCATCTGGAGCCCTGTGCTGGCTCAGCGTGTGCATAAATAAGGAACAACTGATGATGCCAATGTGGAGCTTTTGCAAAAACAAGAGAAAAACTTAAAATAAACTGTGCTTGGCATTGTGTCTGTTAAGAGAGTGTGAAGGGATGAAAAGTCTCCTTGTCATTACAATAGATCGCTTTGTACTAGTTTTAACTCATTTTGTTGCTGTGTTTAGAAAAAGTCCATTAAGGGTGTTTTGTTGCAACTGAATGAGAATCGGCACCCTAATGGACTGGATGAGAACCCCCACCTGGTATAACCTTTTTTTTTTTTTTTTTTTTAATGGGCTCTGCTGGTGCTGGTGCTTTCATACTGCAGCTAGAAATTTCTCTGTGCAATGCCAAAGGCTATGGCTGAAAACCAAAGGAATCTCCTTATGGGTTTTAATGTAGTCCCCCTCACAGTACCTGTGCAGGAAATACCATTTTGGTTAATTGAAGCATGAACAAGGATTCCCCTTTTAATTCACACTACAAACAACCTCACTGGTATTCTCCTGACCTTGTCCTGACATTGCACAGACTAAAAAAATTAAATCAGATGTGGGGAAGGTTAAAGATAGTAATAGTGGTTGGTAAAGGGCATTTTTCTGTTTTCCTCAGCTCCCAGACTTCTTTGGTCAGGTGAGAGCCTGGTCTGAAAACATCCCCCAGCCGCTTCCCTTCATTTAGGCTGCTGATATATCCGGGGCAACTGGATAGGTGTTGATAGATAATATGGACGACTGAGCCATTTGTTCTGTTGAGGCTTTGACAAGCCAAGACCATATTAGTCACCTATTCAGTCCACAAGGTCTGTAGTTATGTCAAATCACAGGGTAGTGGGCTCGGGGTTGTTTTCAGACAGAACCGTAGTCCTGCTTTTAAATCACTGTTTTAGCTCTTAGCCCTTTCTACCAGTTGTGGCTTGTAGGCTCTCCTCCCCATACTCTCCAATGCATTCCCTGAGCCGGATATATAATTTTGGTTTTATCCCAAAAAACAGTTAATGAATTTTCCCCAGGTAGTGTATAATATAAATAGTGACAAATTAGTGTCTGAATCATAACTGTAGTGTAGTGTCATAAAATCTTCCTGGAAAAGATGCAAATCATTTAAGAGGCAGGGCAGCACCTCTTAGTGGAATAGCTGCTGTGGTCCTGGCTGAAGATAAAATCGTTGTTTTTGTGGCTGTTTTGAGAAAAGAGCCATTGAGCTGGTTATTAGTGGGAAATGATCATTGAGTAATATTCCCAAATATGCTTTTGTCTTAAAAAACACTGACGAGATAAATCCCTCTGAAAGACTGCATTCAAACGTTAATACAGTAGTTGCAGGAATTGTGAAAACTGTTCCTTTTGTCATAGACAAAACTAGTACATGACATGATATATTTAACCTTGAAATATATTGGGGATGATCTTTTTTAATATTATTATTAGTACAGAAAAATCTAACTAAGTTGAATAGGCGAGTTGCCTCTTGAGTTGACATATTCCATTAGTAAAATGTATTTAATGCTCTAAAGTGTGAGGAGGTTTTGGTCTAGCCTGTACAGCTGTAACCTGAGCAGCTTCAGATGACATCTCAGGAAGTTATTAAATATGCATAGCTTAGACGTGCACAACAGTAGTGGAAAACAGGAGTGACAAATGGCAGCCGTATGGAGCAAAATGTTCAGCCTATTCAGACTCAGCCAAAATGGGCATATACAAAGTAAGCTGCTAAATACAGAGCAGAGGAAAAGATTAGTTGACAGTGTGAAAGAGAGGGGAAGAGGGATCTTAAAGAAGGAAAGGCTTACAAAAACACGTCAGAAGTCAAAGTGCACACGGTAGATCTTAGTAACATCCCCAGAGAAAATGCAGTCTTAATAATGAATAGCTGGTTAAGACTCAGAATGCATGCGACTTGTGGCCTGAAGTGAGGGAAAAGAGAGATTTTAAAAGCAAGAAAAGATGCAAAGTGAGAGTAGGGAACATTTGTCCACAAGCAGAGATGAGAAGGGAACACAAAGGAACAAGTAGGGGCCTGCTGTGTAGTGTGATCAGATTTCCACAGGACTAGCGTCTTGCGAAGTCTGTGCTGATGTACTCGTGTGGTCATGTTTGCTTGTAAGATTCTGACTATGGTGTTTCTCATGACTCAGCCAGTGCCAGCATACTCTCTAAGTGAGAGTGTATAAAGGAGGATCAGTGAGAGAGAAAAAAAAGAGGCTGAAATGTAGAACAATCTATGAGAAGGTGTTGGTGTGATGACAGACTCCAAGATTTCTCTGCTGCTCAGCGTCTTTGTCTTTGTATGAACAAATCTCCCTGTACTGCCCTCTCATTTCCCTATTTTCAAATGTCTCAACTTCTATCCCAAATCATCAGGTTTTCTGGCCATCTGCAACATGTGTGTGTCTGCGCAACTCTCACGTTTTTTTTTCTTTTTTAATCTTTACCAAAGAAGGACGTTGTGACTTGTGTCTTGGCAGGTTGGTTCTCATCGCGTCAAACTCTCAAGGGGATTTGAGGCAAATGCACCAGCATTCGAAAGGTAATTAAAATGTTCTGGTAGCGTGTGTGCACAAGTGTGTATGTGTGGAGCAGTCTCCTGCTGCTTTATCTGGCCTCCAACAGATTAACACACCATAATACTATGTCTCCTGCACTTACTGTCTTAGCCACAGTAGAGAACAACTCTTCAGATTTGTCAAGGAGAAGATGTTAATTGAAGTGTGTCCTCAGAGGCTGCTTTATTGCAGAGTACATAAAGCAAACATTAGTAGCCCTTGATTAGCTGTTGACCCCAATAACTTGTAGTTTATTTTCATCCCAGGCTGTTTCCATTCACTCCTTGACTTTTTGCACATCTCTTTTGAAAGACAGCTTATAGTGTGTGTTTGTGTCTATGTGCATGTGTGTTCAAGGTTTTTATAAGTCAAGTCCTGAACTTCCTAACTTTTGCATTTCATTCAAATCCAGAGCCTGTTTTGTCATTGCAAGCCAGTTGTACCTTTTGAGTAGTTGTATTCCTCCAGATTCTACTTGGAAAATTGAAAAACAGCTATGCTGTAACAATGAGTTGGATTTGTGGTTACTCCACGTACCCTTCCCTTTATATACTATTCGTTTTTTCATAAACACATGGCTGTGAAGATTTTCTCTACATTAGTGTAGCTTTATCTTAAACATTTGATTTGCAGACAACCATTGAACTTGCAGACAAATGCAGGATTGATCACAGTACAGCACCCTTTCAAGATGCTAGTTTGCTGAATGACATATAAGCCGGATGTATGGTCACTGGAGCCTAAACCCATTGAGGGGAAAGATGATCACCCTAATCACTAAGCCACACCTTGATAGTACCGACTACATCCTTATCAACCATTCAGCAGCCACCCTAACAGTCTCAAATTTGCCATGCTGTGCACTATGTTAAAAACTTTTCATGGAAAGCTATGAAGGCTATTAGTGGTTCTTTGATTCCTCAGAATGTTGGGTCCTGCATGATAGACTCAGCAAGGCTAGGCCCAATACTGCTCTCAAATTTTCAGTATGCATATATTAAGACATATCAGATATCAGATTTTACACCATGGGTATTTTAGAACAAATTAGTCATTGTTCACACCAAGTAGCTGGCAGTGCTACTCGTCTAATATATGTTCATATCAAGATGATGAGTCATCCTTTGTAATATCTGGCCTTTTTTTTTTTTTTTTCTTACTGTAACAGCCAAGTATACACTGATCAGCCACAACACGAAAACGTGATTCATCAGACCAAGACCACCTTCTTTCACTTCTCCATGGTCCAGCTGTGCAGCTTACATTGTAGGCAGTTTGGTAGACATTGGGCGCCGTGACCGATCTGCAGCTACGTTGTCCTATACATGGCAAGCTGCATGCAGTGTGTGTTTTGATACCTTTTATAGGCACTAACCATTGAACACCCCAAATGATCTGCCCTTTCAGAGGTGCTTTGACCCACTTAAAACAAATTGGCCCTTGTCAAAGTTGCTCAGATCTTTAAGCTTGCTTTAGCTTAGTTTAGTTAGTTTAGCTATTGGGACAAAGTGTGATGTTTTTTTAAATCAAATTAGACATAACTGCTGTTGGTAAACCTTAATTTATGCATGTACAGTGTTTATTATGTAAGTATATGTCTTTTTCCAGACACTTTACCGCGCTGCGGAGGTTGTATGGCAAGCAAGTGATCATCAACCTGCTTGGAAGTAAGGAAGGAGAACACATGCTCAGCAAAGCATTTCAGGTGAGGGGAACCATCTTTGTCCCTTAACACTGACAGGCATTGTAAAATATTTATCTGATGCTTCCAACAAGACAGACAGTCCAAAATAAACTGGCAGCAAGTGATGTGTGTCAAAACAGATTCCGTCTTTGTTCTCATTGTAAGCCCACACAATAATGACAGTAAGGAATTCTTTCAAGTGGGTGGACGCTGTGGCTCCAGACAGAATGCGTCACTTTCCTGCTGTATTTTCCACCGGAGGAGTCAGTGAGCAGTGTTAGAAAGCAGTGGTTTATGTTTTTCTCTTTCACTCTCTGGTTTGGTAAACATAATTTACTGTAATTTGATCTGTTATCAGTTGACCTCAAACCACATCTTCTTTTGTGGTTTTGTAACTGTCATAAAACCACAGAGGAAGATTACTATTGATGTATTAACCCACATTGTATTTATTCATCTTTAAGACAGGCTTTCTGCTTAGCCCTAGCTGGATTAGTTAAATCATCAGGTCAGGATTTAATTGTCTTGACTGCACTATACATACAGTGTAGTATAAATAAATTATACAGTGGGCATTTAATTTTTACTTTATATGCTGTATATATATATATATATAAGCTGTGTTGTTCTGTTAACATCTGCAGTGTGCTGTGGGTGTTTTTGTATCATAGTAAAATATACAATACAGTTCACTTTGTTGCTAATATTTTATTTGTTTAGAAAGTTCTTTGAATGTCAGTCTTTTCTATTAATGAGGAACATAGTTGCTAGTATTACCAGAAGTCAGCTCAGCACTTGTTCCTAAAACATGGCCTGCATGTTCGCGGGTTACTATCAAAGATATCCTTTGTATCCTTTATATTGTAGGTAACACACCACGTAAGCTCAACATTTGTAGATTCTCTTTAAATTTCTGGAAATACATGCTCTTCCTCTCTGGCACTTTCAGAGTCACTTAAAGGCGTCAGAGCATGCATCATCAGTGAAAATGGTGAACTTTGACTACCATCAAAACGTGAAGGGTGGCAAAGCAGACAAACTCCACAGTGTCCTCAAACCCCAGCTCAGCAAATTTGTAGAAGAATGTGGGTTCTTTTACTACGCTGGAGACATAGGCATTGCAAGGTGAGAAATAAGTACAAATATGTATACGAAAGGCGGAGTAAATGTTATTTTTGTTATAGCTTCTTTCTGCATTTTAACAGACTTGTGATTTTGCATGTTTCTGCAAAAAAAATTACCGTCCACCTACACCTTCCATTACTGTCAGTCATTTCCCAAAACATGCAACCACAATTTTGCTTTCATAGAAATTTTCAGTATTCTGGAAGCTCAAATGTTCAGCTGATTCACCGACCTTAACATTTAGAATTTACAAAATACACATCCTCAGTTCAACGTAATCATTATTTTGCTTGTAAAGCAATCTTCTGAACCGGGTCATGGTGGAGTTATACATTCTCTCTGTCTAGTACTATGTCCTTCCTTTGAGTAGTTTCCATTGGACTGGCTCTGTGAAGTAAACTCCATTTATAACCCAAGAATCATTGGCTGGATTGTTTGCACAGCTTTGCCAGGAAAAACATTCAGTCGTGGAGTGTTTTTGTGCTATCGTGTAGCTAAAACTGTTCTCCGTACCGTTCACGTAACACTCTATACAGCTGTAAAAATGATGACAACTTTTTGTACTGCTTGTGTCTGAAAGGTATTTTTGTTTTTGTGAGTGCATCACCATTAAGGATTTACAGATCACACAGCAATTTTTACACTAGTAAAAATTCAAAATGAACAAAAAACATTTCAAACATGTCTCATTATGAGTATTATCATAGTTGAGTTGGTTTCAAAGATCTGTGAGTAGATTTTGATGAAATGAACCATGAGCCAGTGGACTCAATTAAAAACAATAAGACCAGTTGCATTATGGTGAAATGACTGTCACTAAAGAAAGTTTTAAGTTCACAGGATTTACTGGACTGATGCAAAACTTTTTGAACGGTCCTTTACAATGTCTTTTTAGGACTCAGGGAGGGACCATCAGGACCAACTGTCTGGACTGTTTGGACAGAACCAACAGTGTCCAAGCCTTTTTTGCTCTTGAGGTAGGAGCCCATAATGCTCTTGTCTTTCTCCGTCCAAGTTTGTAGTCTGCAGTCTAATCCCCTCTTCCTCCCTACCTTAGATGCTGCCTAAGCAATTGGAACAAATGGGTTTGACAGAGAAACCGCAGCTGGTGGCCCGGTTCCAGGAGGTTTTTAGGACCATGTGGTCAGCCAACGGTGATTCTGTCAGTAAGATCTACGCAGGCACAGGTGCCCTGGATGGAAAGGCCAAGGTACACAATGTGGACAATAAATGCACACAAATTCACAAGTTCACAGTAATCCACAATTGAACCATTTATGCACATTGTAATGAACAGCTGGCTATCAAAACTTTATTTAGCATAGGATTTCTTTGAATTTGGAGGACTTTAATCAATTTTAGCACCAAAATACTGATCCATGGGTTACATGAGGACCAACACCTGTAGCTATATTGGTATGAGCTAAGGCAAAATGTGATAAAATCATTTAGATATTGAGGTTTTGCTCTCTTACAGAAAACATTTCTGCAAATTCTTTTGTTATTTTTTATATAATCCTCTTACAGTTTAACAGTGAGGCTTACAAAGGTTTAAAGTTTCTCACAAGCGTTGACCCTCACAACCTACTATTGCCTGTTGGATGACCAGTTCCTTATAGATCAGGCATGCTCACAGCAGCCTAGTATATGAGGTTATGGACAGGAAAAGATAAAAAAGTGGCACAGATGCTCCTACTGTACACTGAAGCCTGAAGCCCTCTGCTTAATGTCGACAAAATTAAATTTACTTTAATACTAAACCATAAATTGTACATTTTAACAACAATATATTGACAACTTATGCATTGTGCATGCAGTGACAGAGTTCTGCATGACCAGTTGGTCCTGTGTGTGTGTGTGTAGAACTGTGTGCTTCTGTTTCTTAACTCTTGTGTGCTATTTCTTTCGGCTGTCCTCTGGACCTCTCTACCTGTGTGGTAAGTTAGAGCGCCAGTTGATGTTGTTATAGCTGTGGGTCTATTTCCGGTGCATTGTTGATTTCAGTGTCTGTGGGTTCAGTAAGGATGATGATGGAGGATGGGATAGGTGGGAGTCGGTTTGTTTTTTGTTTTTTTTTTCCTTCTTTTTTTTGTTTTTTTAAAAATAAAATCTGGTTTTGTTTCCCTTGGGGTATCCCTGCAATGCATACTGTCTTGAAGGCTCCATGGAGATCTCACTACTGATCTGCAAAAATATATTTGTAAAGAAAACAAAGAAAAAATAGCGATTGATTAGGTGATAATTTTCTTACCATACTATCAGTTGTGATTGTTGCCTAAATTACCAGCCAGATTCTGTTGTCTTTGTTGAAAACTGGAGGAAGAAATCAGTCCAGATTATTGCCACGTGGCCACAAATCAAACCGTGCTGCACATCAATCACTGACATTTTGAATTTGCACCTTGTCAAGCAAATTTGATCGTTCTCTGCCAGTTCATAAATCTGTATCAACTGGATCTCTCTGAAGCGTTTCTTTGCTTCTCTTCATTTGCTGGAGTGGGAAGTACAGACTTTCTGTCGCACCAAGTAAAACTAATACTATGGGAGGTGTTTTTTCTAATTGTTTTTAATTGTGTTTGCATGTCTGTCTTTATTGTAGGCGGGAAAGCTAAAAGATGGAGCTCGGTCTGTGACACGGACCATCCAAAACAACTTCTTCGACAGCTCAAAGCAAGAAGCTATAGACATCCTGAGGCTGGGCTCTACACTCAACAGTGATCTGGCAGACAAAGCTCGGGCCTTGCTCACTACTTCCAGTCTTTATGGTAATTCATTAGAATATGGGCAAAATACGTATTATTTTAATGAATAAAAACGTCTTGTTTGAAATATTCTCGTGAATTGTTTAACTGAAGTTTTACGCCATATTACAAATTAAATGTTTTATATTTCTTAATTGTAATTTTGAGAATGTGACTTTGTTTTTGCTCGGTTAGTGGAAAGCAGTTTGAATATTTTGATGAGTTTGGACATGTGTCTGTTGTAGCCAGAAGCTACATTGCACAATACAAGGGTTTGCCTGCCCTTTGTCTGTAAAGCAGGGAGAGTAATCTCCGTGTGTCAGCTCGCTGTCCCAGTTAGATTAATACTGACCGACTGCTCTGCTAGCATTATCTGTTAAAGCACTGGTTAACCCTCCCTTCTCTCCCTTCTCTCCTCCCTGCTCGTGCACACAATCTTAGTCACTGAGCCTGTCTTACAATCAGGTATAGTAACTGACAGACTGCCACCAGTGGATGGATTTTGTCCTCCCCTGTCACATAGTTGTCCTATCATTTGTGTTTGCTACTCATTATTTTGCATTCATTTACAACCCAATGTTGGTAGTGGTTTAATCCACTGTCTATTGCAGATAATCAGGCTCGTTAAAAGAGGATACCTCGAAGGGTTCATTTGCAGTAACAGTCATCTCTGTTTTGATTTGTTTTCCTAATGCACCCCAGGCAACATTAGTCAATCTGGTGTCAAGTTGTTTTGTACTCTCGTGAAATCATAGTTTATTCATTTGAAGAATGGCTTTTATCTGTAGTTGCAAATGAAGTCTCCATTGGAATTTATAAAATATTTTTTCATCCAATGAAGTTGAATTTTCCAGACAATAATGAACCACTACCAAGGTTGATTATGTGAATGTTACCTGTATTTCAGCAAGAGTTCTGAATTACATCTTTTCTCCCATGCCCCATGTTTTAGAACACTGTCGTGGACTTCCTCTGTTGTATTTGGATACTATCCCATTGGTTTTGTTGGTTGTGATTAGTTCTTCCTTACTTTTGTTTTGTTCCCCTGTATGCCACCCTCCATACATGTACCCACTAAACTGTTTTGCACTCTAATCCTACTCTTCTCACCTCTTCAGCCTCCCCAAGAGTATTGCTGGGAATGTGTCAGAATTACCATAAATACACAAGGCCCAAGCAGATCCGGGTTTGTGTCGGCACCTGGAATGTTAACGGGGGTAAACAGTTCCGCAGCATTGCTTTCCGTAACCAGACACTCAACGACTGGCTGTTGGATGCCCCAAAGAAGGCCGGCCATCCCGAGTTTCAGGGTATGTTGATATTTACAACTCTGTATTTGTTGTCTTTGGAAAACAAAATTAAGACAACACCTCAAGGCTCGTCATATAACACATTATATCTCATTTGTTTAATCACTACAACCATTTTATGTTTGAAAATACCCTGTTGTGGTTGAACAGGGCTTATGTGCTTGGCTGTGCCTGACTCTTGTTGTCAGTGATGGAACAGTCTGCTGGTTGCCTCACTGTAATGATTAGGCTTTAGAAAGTTACTCCCAAGTGTAGCAATCATCTCCTCTATCTGTTGGGAAGGAACCAAGTGAGTGTATTACCCAAAATGCCAAAAATGTCAGGCATTGGAAGTTTGAAGTTTGCGGGTGTCTGTGAAATTCTGGAGAGAAAGAAGAGTACAAAAGCCCTTCATTCTTCTATCGTAACTACTATTCAGATGTTACTTGAGGTCTAGAGAGCTAAGTCATTAACCACAGTTGACATTGCTCATACTGAGCATTTGTTAGGGGGATTTGTTAAGAACTGTGAACAAAGGTAAAACAATGAGAAAAGAATGATGGAGAAAAAAGAATCTGAGTCATAAAAGATGGAATAGGTGATCTTAAGGAACGATGGAGGTATTTTACTGTCTTATTTTACAGCTAAAATTATACTAATAATGTCATATTGAGGGCTGCAAGGTGGATCGGTGGTTAGCACTGTTGCCTTGCAGGTAGAAGGTCGCCGGTTCGCGTCCCGGTGAGGACACCTGGGGTCTTTTTGCATGGAGCTTGTTCTCCCTGTGCAGCGTGGGTTCCCTCCGGGTTCTCTGGCTTCCTCTCACACTGTCCAAAAACATGTTGAGGTTAATTGGTGATTCTACATTGTCCGTAGGTGTGAATGTGAGTGTGCCTGTTTGTCTGTCTCTAGGTGTGATAGACTGGTGACCTGTCCAGAGTGTCCACTGCCTTTGCCCTAAGTCAGCTGGGATAGGCTCCAGCCCCCTAGTGAGGATTAAGGGCTGTATAGATAATGGATGGATGTCATATTAAATCAAATTGCTGCAGTTCATACAGTAATAGTGCATAGTGCAGTGCTATGCTAACCCACAGTTTATTGGCCAAAAGTGGAAAAAATGTGGGTGGCTAGAAAAACTATGTATATATTTTTATTTTATTTTATTTTTTTTAAAATTAAAATTAAATTTTTATATTCCTCACAAACTCCACTGATATAATGTAATAGATTATTTAGTCAGTCATACTGAACATAAATGTAAAAATGTGATTTTTCCTCTTTCTTTACAGACACCAAAGCCAACCCCATAGATATCTTTGCAATCGGATTTGAGGAAATGGTTGAACTGAATGCTGGCAACATTGTCAGTGCCAGGTATGTGTGTAAGATTTCAACCTAAGATAAGACTTTTGTCACACAAAAGACTTAGAAAAGATCGCAAAGGTGTATCACTGGTGGCCTATAGGAAGTGTGGTATTTCCCTGTACTTCATACAACCCAATCTGAGAACCGAGATCTGTATGGTGTCTTACTTTCAGAAATGAACTGAATATTTAAATGCATTGATCGCATTAAATCAGGCACAAAATAATGGTGAGCATGGATTTGCAAAATTAATCTGCATTTCCAAGTTAACATTTGGAAACAAAACATGATAAAAAATCACTGTGACTCACTTTATTTCTTGTGTTTTTTGTTTCTGTGCTGTAACACAACTTTCTGTTCTTGTCTCAGCACTACTAACCAGAAACTGTGGGCAGCTGAGCTCCAAAAAAACATCTCCCGGGACCACAAGTATGTGCTACTTGCTTCAGAGCAGCTGGTGGGAGTGTGTCTGTTTGTCTTCATCCGCCCACAGCATGCACCATTCATCAGGTATGACCTGCACAGATTCTTAGTAGAAATGTTATCATAACTATGGGTGCGTGGTAACAGACGTCATCTTGTCACTCATTGTATTCTAGAGATGTAGCTGTAGATACCGTAAAAACCGGAATGGGTGGAGCCACAGGTAATAAAGGAGGCGTGGCCATCCGTCTGCTGTTCCACACCACCAGCATCTGCTTCGTCTGCTCCCACTTTGCTGCCGGCCAATCGCAGGTCAAGGAGAGGAACGACGACTACAGCGAGATCACACGCAGACTCAGCTTCCCCATGGTAATAACCATAACATTAACAAAGCAGTTGCAAAACACTCTGTTGTGTAAGTTGCTTGACTAAAAGCATCTATCTTCTCCTCCAGGGTCGTCTGCTGTACTCACATGACTACGTGTTCTGGTGTGGAGACTTTAACTATCGAATCAGCCTCCCCAATGAGGAAGTGAAAGAGCTCATCAAACAACAAAGCTGGGATGCCCTGACAGCTGGGGACCAGTTATTGGACCAGAAGAATGCTGGTTTGGTATGACCTACAATACCATGCATAATTACATTGTTGGTAACTGTTCAAGAGGTTCTTCACAACAGAAAATCGTTTATTTTGATGCAAGAAATAAACCAATAGGGGGTTGATTTTTTTTTTATGTCTGGAGAAACACTGCAGAAATATACTCCTCAAAAACTGACACAATATATTAGACTTTTAATGATAAGAGCAATCTTGAAAAACCCTGAAAAGTTATGGAACTTGAAAACTCTGGTTACCAGATTTTGGAAAAACCTGAATTGCTCAAAGATTGTGGAAAAATCATGGGAAATGTTTGATCATGCACATAGCAGACATAGACACATTTTTCTGACTAGTTGCCGTGGACTGTGGCCATATAGTTGCTGCAAAGATGTACAGTGATGCTGACTTGTTCAAAGACTTGTGCATGCCTCCTTTGCCACCTAACAAAAGTTATTTTCAGATGCTGCTTACTGTACAGCCTTTTTCAGCAGTGTTTTTGTTTATTCCAGTTGTCAACAAATGTGGCCTGGTATTTATTTATTTTTTAAAATCAGACTATTTTATTTGTAAAGTGGAAGTTACACAATATGAGAACAATACCACAACAATATTCTATTTATACTGCATATGGCAAATCTATGCAAAACATTCAGATTTATTTTCACTGCGATGAACTGTGTTCCACTGTTATGTTGCCATCATACCAAACCTACACTTCAATGAGAAGAAGAGAACTTTGAGTGAGCTGTATCTAATTTATATATTGATCACATAATGTGACCTCATCTTCACAACCCACTGCCGCTATGTTATTGATAAAGTACGTTGCACACTCCTTTATATAAATGTTGATAAATAAATCCATCAAAATATTTTGTTTTCCAAAGTTTGTACATATACATAGAGACCATAGAAGATTCAGTCATGAGAAGCTTGTTTATAATCATGTAAATCCACGAACTAAAATGTTTACGAACTGTTTGACTATAGTATTCTCTTAAAATGTCTTCCACAGGTCTTCAGAGGTTTTATTGAGGGAAAGTTGGATTTCGCCCCAACCTACAAGTATGACCTCTTCTCAGAAGATTATGACACCAGTGAGAAGTGCCGCACACCAGCCTGGACTGACCGCATACTTTGGAAGAGGAGAAAGTGGAACTTTGACAAAACAGGTTAGATGCAAAGCCCCTACATAAATCTTACTCCAAAATAACCCCCTTTCTTCTGATCTCAGATCTCTTACTTTAAGAAATCATGGCAGCATTCTATATTTAAATATGTTTTAGGTGTGGAATTTAGGTTTAGTGGGTTTGGAGGTTTGTGCTGCTGCTATCCTACTTACCTTCTTTTGTTCTATAATGGTAAATGTATGACAGAATAAAAATGTCTAAAGCATAAGAGTGCTGAATTCACATGTCTGTTTCTGTGCACGTTTGTGTGTTTTTTTTTACAGCTGAGGAGATGAATGTAGTAGGAGCAGCTTCTACATCTGTGGAGAATGAGGACGATCCAGACAATCCCTGGAGCCCTGGCACTTTAAAGTACTACGGCAGAGCAGAGCTGAAGACCTCAGATCACAGGTAATTAACCAGCTATATCTATGAGTAAGTGAACAAATGGCATTACAGATTCAAATTTGTGATGTAAAACCATCTGATCACATAGATTACAAATGTGCTGTAGCAGTAGTAAAAAGAAAACAACAAACATGTGGTGTCTCTTTTTAATAAAGCACCACTTTCATCAAAGGTCACTTGCCTTCCTTGATGTGTGTCTCTAGGCCTGTGGTGGCAATAATGGATGTAGACATCCTGGAGGTCGACCCGGAGGCCCGTCACCAAGTCTACAAAGATGTCATTGCCCTGCAGGGGCCTCCAGACGGTACCATCCTGGTGTCACTCTGCACCTCCGGCCCTGATGACTACTTTGATGATCCACTCATAGACGAGCTGTTGGACAAGTTTGCTAATTTTGGAGAGGTCATCCTCATCAGGTTAGCCTGACATCCTAACAGACAAAGACATAAATGTTATTTACCTTCAGCAGTCAGTCTGCATTGACAGTGTCCTTGTTTTTGCAGGTTTGTTGAGGAGAAAATGTGGGTGACCTTCCTTGAGGGTTACTCTGCCCTGGCTGCACTGTCTCTCAGCGCTTCCACTGTAAGTCATTACTGATTATATAAATTGCTTTAAAACTAAGTCCTAACATGAGTAATTTAAAATGTGCCTCCATCTCTGTCCTCGATCTCATTTGAATCCCCCCCTTGCCACAATTCAGGATGTGTCTGAAACACAAACATCAGTTTTGCAATATTTCTTTTTCTGGTTGCATACTTTGTATCCAACTTCTACTTCTGTCTTGTCTATGTTGTGTGTTTTACATTGTAGGTCCTTGGCAAGATGATTGACATCCGTCTGAAGAGTCCAGGCTGGATCAAGAGTCTGGAGGAGGAGATGAGTGTGGAGAGGATCTGTGGAAGCATTCCTACATCAGCCAGCTCCACCCTGCTTGCCGAAGACACGGACATGGGTGACGACGATTACGATATGGAAGGTGAGGATTGGCAACCAAGAAACCCTAAGCCTTATCCTCAAAAATGTGGATTGTAAATGTAGTTTTCATTTTGTTTTTGACTGCAAATGATATAAGACGGGCTGTAGAATTTATTGTTTCCAAGCAAGAACTCACTCCCTCTTATCTCCTGTACTAGGTGATGTAGACGAGGAGGTGGAGGAGATTCTTCCCCAGCATCTGCAGCCTGGAGCAGGCTCTGGCCCAGGATCCTCCCCTCTCCCTTCTCCCCGCGGTAGTCCCTGTCCCTCCCCTACCCATGGAGAACCTGCTGCCCCCAGCAGGCCTGGTCGTGCACCACAACCTTCCCGACCATCACAAGGTAAACACAATATACAGTGCAGCTTTGGAGACATATTTTGTAGTGCAATAATAAAATGTGTGCAGGGTAAAACTGCATCATAAGTCTGTATGTGACCAAGTTATGGGATGGCACAGTCTGACACAGAGGTGTTTCAGATTTAGATACATGTTTTAACAGTGTGTTTTGTCAAAGAAAACGTTTACATTTAGGACTCAAAGTCATGCGCTTTCCATCGTATACATTTCAGGAAATGGCACAAAAAGTGCATGTTCTCAGTGGGAAGTCACACTGTTTCCAAAAATAATTGGAAGAATGGTCACATGAATCACTCCCTTTTCATAAATACATTTGCCCTATCTTATATATTTCTCCCTTCCAGGACCACCTGTTGATTTCCAGCCTGGTGCCCCCACAGCTCAAGGCATGGAGCCAAAACGCCCGCCTCCCCCTCGTCCTAACGCGCCCCCAGCTAGACCCGCACCACCTCAACGTCCACCACCACCTTCAGGTACAGTACCATTCCTAATCTTTTTGACTAAAGCCTGATTTTTTTTTTTTAGCAAGAGCCTGTAACCTTGGTTAGCGAAATGAAATCCTACATTGGAAGTTTGGATATTTAATTTTTCAGCATGGTGCAATATGAGATATTTTAGGCAGGTGTTAACATTTTCACCTTTATCCCATTGTTTTGCCTCATCCATGAAGGAGGCATGAGCCCTCTACCAGTTAGAAAGGACTCTGCAGGTAAAGTAATTGCTGTGGAACGATGTGCTTATGTGCTTACATTGCTGAAGCATTTGGTCTAGCGGCTGCTATTTTCCATTTGAGCTACACGTAGAGAAGCACAATAGATTAGTGCTGCCTCAGTGACCTGTTACAAAGTCTTTGTGTTGTATTCAAATGTTCATTTCAGTTCAATCAATGTGCTATAACTCACAAAATGTCCATAACACATCATTAATGCCAATAATGTCCCACTATAGTTTTACATAAAAGGGTTAGTGCCAGATCATAACACTACAGCTTTTCTGTGGGATGAGGGTTTTCTGATTGGAAGAAATGCCTGAAGTTCTCATGTAAACTGTTTCTTCCTGGATGCAAAGCTACAATGGCTCTGCAAAGTATATTTAATTCATAGCTTTGCTGTCATAGAGATGTGCTTGAGCATGTCCAACCGGACTTCGGACTTCATGTATGACTACTAACAGTTTATTGGAGTATTTCAGACTTTTGACTTTACATTGTACAGCCAGCCCACCAATTTTTCTTTTTCTCATTGCGCTCCCTTCAGCCCAGCAGGCATTTTCTTTGGGTAGTGGCATTGCCACAAGGCATAGAACACTGAAGAGTTTATTGTATTACACTTTAACTATTTGTTTCACTGAAACATCAGTATAATCTAAAGCCTCTCCTACACATGACTAAATGTACACATAACTGGATGGTATGAGGGCTTAGCTTCAGTTTTTAGACGAATTAGATTAAGTTTGCATTTGTGAGGTTTAGGAATTGAAAAGTGGTGAATGACTACTTAGGTCATTCAATATACGGTGCTGATTGTGCCTCATACAAGTACTCCCCATAGTATGTGATTTTGGTTGGTATAAATTTGTATTTGGTAATATAGAACTATCCTTCCTTTGTGTTTTCCTTGTGAGTACTATGAAAATATTGTTAAGTTTTCTTAGACATTGTTGCTTGTATTTAAATTAATTCAATGTGGATGTAACTGGTAGGCCATGTATTTTTTTATGTTGTAGCACCAACACTGCAGCTAAATGTTTTATTTTTAATCTATTGTTTTTTTTATGTTTTCTGCTGTACCTTACTTTGAAAATATTATGTCCCTTCTTTGGCTTTAAGACTTTGGCCCATGCCCCAGCCCACTGCTTGGTAGGAGAGGCAGTGAAGGTAACTGGCCAGGAGCTGTGTTATTACATGTCATCTGATCCCTGTAGTCTCAATACTGGGTCATCAATGTTATTGATGCTTTTTTATCACTGGTGGTTTACCTTTGACAAATTCTGCTTTCCTATTAGCCCTTTTAGTCTTGTGCCTGTGTGTGCGAAAAAGATGTGTTTGGTAGCCTGTTGCAAAGAATATTTAGCTTATTTAAATGCAGAATAAGGAAGGAATGCTGTGCCACTGGACACAAATTGTCTTTTCTTGAAAGAAAACTATCTTTTTTTCCTTTACGTGTAATATTGAGTGATAGTTGACTGCATATACTACTTTTATTTTACCATGTTAGTGTGAAGTGTCTCTTCCTCAGGGAGACTACAGTATAAAATTTTGGGGGTTTCTGAAAGTAAATATTATAACTTGTGAAAAAGGGAGAACATAAAAAAATAAGGCTACTTTGATCAGTCAGTATAACCAGCACAGATATTGCAAGTGTGCACCTTATCATTGTGGACTCGTACTGGCCTGGTCATTATAGTCTTTTCATAACGAGGGAGATAATGTGATTTAAAGGAAAATCTCTTTGGTCCCGACTTAAAAGGGTCTTTAAGTCTACTTGACTACAGTAATCCATTATGATTAGTGGAGGAAATCCTTCTCAGGCAGGTAGATGGTCAGATCATCTCGTGCTTCTCTGCTTTGCTGCATTATTGCCATCATATGCTTTTCCCAGTGCTTCTCGTGAAGTGTCGTCATTGGGAGCACCTGCTTCCTGTGACTAGTATGCCACTCTGTGTATAACAGTAATGTGGTTTGGTTTCCTTTGTGCTGCAAAGGACCAAAAAGCCCTGCTCTTCCTCGACCAGATTCCCCTGCAGGTGAGTGCCACAAAGCATGACGTAGTCTCACTTGGCATTAATGTACCAAATGAAGACAAATGATTGTTAGTCAGTTATGTAGGTTTGTGTTTGTTCCATGAAAGTCAATCTTTGTGTGGAGTTTCCTTCTCCTTGTGATGTGGTGGTGAGATTATCCCTCTGTTTACTATAATCATGACACAAAATATGCCTGTCCTAGGGTGGAAGGTAGGGTTTGGTTGCGCAGCTTATTGATGACTTGACCTGTCTGCACCTCACCTATTTGTATGGTGTCTGTGGTTAGCTGAATCCCTCTGTCACAGTAAGGGTGTGTGTGGTAAGCAGGGTTGACTTACGTTTGGTGACTGTACAGTGAAGTATTACACAGAAGCAGACATCTAAGTGGCGTGGGAAAATGTTCGCAGGCTCTGAGAGGGGCTCAAAGAGAGAATAGTGAAAGAAGAGGAGTATGCTTGCTGTGTGGTAAGCAGTTGGCTCACAGAACAAGGCCTTGCCTCTCTTCTAGACCTCCTGCAGCTCAGGAATGACTGAGTCATCATTAATAATGAAGTCAGCCATGGGGAATTTGTTCTGTCATAGGTTGGGGTGGGTTGGCAGTGTACTCGTTTGGGATTTAGTACAGTAAGCTGAAGTTGTAATTTCATCTGCTTGAACCTCATCTTAAATGCTCCTGCTGTTTCTTACATCTCTACCGATAGGGCGCAGCCATCGTGATGAATATTTAATAGTACCAAATTTGTCTTAAACAGTTGTGTGCCTGGCTTGTCTCTTTCAGGTCGAGGCCAGGCAGCCGGAGCTCCTGGACCTGGCGGTGTTTCCAGACCAGTGAGTTTAAAATGCATCATTTATACACAGAAGTTATTATTTCACAGTTGTATTTTATTTTTATTTTTTTACCCAACCTCTTAATTGCAATTCTCTATTCATTCTTCATCTTCCAGAATATTCCTCCTCGAGCTGGAGTGATCAGTATGCCCCCTCAGGCTCGCCCACCACCTCCCGCTCACCCTGGAGCACCCAGGCCCATCCCAGAGGTGCATCCTGGGGCCCCTCGGCCGATTCCAGACACCCACCCCGGTGCCCCACGACCTGTGCCCAGTGGCCAAGTCAAACCAACAGACCTGCCTCTGGGTAAAAAAAAAAAGTTTTCATGGAATGCAGTACACCATTATAATAGAGTTATATGATATAATATTACTAAAGGGAGATATGAAGCTTTTTGTAAATTTCTCTGTTCTTGTTTTTGTCTTTATTCAGTAGGTACAGAGAGTAAATGTGGTACAGAGAGCACAAGAATGACATTCAGTCAGGCTAGGAGTCCTGCAGCTTTTTGGGAATTATTTTCATCTATGTGCTGTTATGACTTCAGAAGTCTGTGTTATCCATCAAAGTCCAAGTTCTCAAACTTGTAGTGAACATATTTGTTGATGTTCAGTCATTTGTTGTCTACATGTATGTTTTAGAATAAAGTTTGAAGAGGTATAAATGTATTCGAAAAGCTGATGTGTTGCGTAATTAAGAACAAAATCAATAAAATCCAGTTACTATTGTTTGTTTCAGTAGCTGAGGCTAATTTGAGGGGCCATGAAATCATGAACAGATATAGGCCTAGAAAATATACAAGCTTGTAAATCTTTAAACATAGAATTTAAGCATTCTTTTTCTTCTTTCAGGTCCCCCTCCCTTAGGTCCTCCACCCTCAGGACCTCCTCCTGCAGGCCCTCCTGCTGGGAAACCCCAGGTTTCATCACCCATGCAGCCACCCATGCAGCCTCAGCCAGCTGCCCCTTCATCTCAGTCTCAACTCCCACCACCGATGCAGCCCACACTTCCAGCTCCTCTCCAGCCACAGCAAGCTCCTAAAGCAGCGGCTTCCCCCGCTGTTGCTGCTGCCGCCGCCGCCCCTTCTGGGCCTCAACAGGGTCTAGCCTCGCCTAAACCCCCACCACGTTCCCGCTCCTCTCATGCTCTGCCGCCTGATGCTGCCAAGTCTGATACAGCCCCAGCTGCACAGGTTGGTGCCAACTTCCTTTTCATTAAATTGTCGGAACTTCAGTTACTGAACAAAGAACACTAACATAATTATTGGTTGAGTGTACTGAGATTTTCTCTGCTTGCACTGCATTAAGATGTGCTCAACAGATTTTTGTTTAAATTCTGCTGATTAGACAAGATGTTGCAGCACTTAATCATGACAGATGTAGGAGGTGGAGACTGCAACAATAGGGAAAAAAGCCTCTTTTTCTTCTTGTTTGTCTCACATTAGATGCGCTTAGTTGTCTTTGTTATTCTTCCTGCTTTTGTCTCTCTGATACATTTGTTTCTTTCTCACAAGCTGGAGAAGCCCTCAGGGTGACAGGTACTTGATATTAAACCACTTTTTTTTGTCTCATCCTCCATAGCACAACAATCCTCTACTCTGATTTTTATTATGTCTCATACATTACACACAGTAACCTCCTCCTCTTATTTTGTAATTGATTGTATTACCTTTCACATCAAGTTATTTTACCCTGGATATTTTTAGTCAATTGCAAGGCCTTGCATTTTTTGTTTTAGCCTCATAAAATGGATTATTATTTATTTTCACTTCTATTCTTTCGTCAACATATCAAACCATAAATGACCTGAAAATATGGATAAAAATGCAATGTTGTATTTTTTGGGCCATTTCCCTTCACTTGTCCTTTCATATGGGCTCGCTGTGCTTCTGGTGTTGACAGTGAGCACATATGCAATGACCTCATCATTTGATTTTACTTTTTTTTTTTTTCATTCATTTGTATTAGATATAGTGTGGTTGTATGTGGACTGTGATACATACACACGTTGCCAGCAGTAGTCAGTTTCGTAAATAAACAGAATCGTGTCTCTAAATGATTAAAGGTACCCAGTGGAGGGCAGTAATGTAAATGGGCAGTGTATGCAAGCCATAAAGAGAGAAATAGCAACATCTACAATATTTGGATCAACGGCCATACATGTTTAATGAGCTGCTAGCTAGGACTGCATGTCACTTGTCAGTTGTTATAAAGAGTGAAACACCTCAAAGATTGTCCATTTTTATCAAATTAAAGGGCGGCGAAAAAGGTAACTGCTCATAGATGTAAACATTGATAGAAACAATGCAAATGCTTAATTAGCACAAAGGTGCTTTCACTAGGGTTTGTGATGAATGAACATGCTGTTTTAAGAAACTACGAATGGAAATATGTAACTTTTTGTTGACAAATATGCTCCAAAGGGTATCTTTAAACTTTGTTTTAAAACGCGTGGTCCATTAGTTAGTCAGATGAACACTGCAGTAACAGCACATGGTTGATATAATGACAGAGCATTTGTTATGATTACTGAATGGCATTTTCTATGTTTTGTCCCTCTTTAGACCAATGGACTGAATGGAATCCAAAGAGAAGCACAATGGAAGCCCGACCCCTTTGACACACTTGCATCTGACTTCCTGTCCTCCTCAACCTCCTCCTCATCTACCTGGCACACCACCCAGTCCCTGACCAGAGGCTCTTCTCTGCGTTCTCCCCCCTCCGTTCCTCCATCTGCGTTTTCCTCCACCACGCTCCCTTCATCCTTCTCTGCCCAGTCCTCTGCTCTATCAGACCTGCAGGCTTTCGATTCCTCCTCCTCTTCCTCACTCTCCACTCCATCACCATTTGCTTCCTCGCTGCTCCCACCTCCCCCGGTCCCTTCTCGCAGTCGCTCTCAGGAGACGCTGCGTGCCTCCCCTAGCCCCCTCCCGACTGACCTGCTGCCCGCCCGACCCAGCAGCACCAATCCCTTCACAGGCCCACTAGCGCAGCAGCATCAGCAGCGGCGAGCGCTCACCCCAGACTTCAGCTTCCAGCATCAAGCCCCAACAGCAAACCTTCAAAGAACCATGTCTGCTCTCAATCCACCACTCATCCCCACCCCTGCAGCTGCACCCACCTCCCAGCTCCACAGGACCACCTCCCTGTTTGGACCATCATCCAGTCTTAATCCCTCACCAGCTCCTCTGCTCCCTCTCGCCCCTGAACTGTCTCCCGCCCCTGCCCTGCCTCTGGCTCCGCCCTCCTCCACTCCACTTGCCTTTGCACCTCGTCGCCAGCCACCTCCCCCAGGAGGGAAACCAGCTCAGCAGTGGGTCACTTTTGATGATGATTTGGATTTTCCACCTTCAACCAAAACACAGCAGAACCCTGTCTTCCCTTCCAGTTCTCTACTGTCCCAAAGTCAGACTCAGCCTTCAAGCTCTGTGTTTGACTCAGAGCCCAAGTGGTTGTCCTCTGCCCCTGCAGCATTCCCTACGCTCCCTCCTCCCATCCCAGATAGAACTGCAACCAGTAACAAAAGGCTCCCAGAGGGACCCAGTGACAACTGCTTGTTCCCAAGGGAGTCGACGGAAAGATAGGATCACCCTTCACATATAAAGGGCATATCCAGATATGTATAGATCTATGATAAATGTGTATATGTGTGTGTGTATGTACAAAAGAGACAGTATTTAAGAAGAATAGACCAATCCCCTTCTGAGTCACAGGAAAGGATTTATATCTGGAGCAGTAACGTGAGAAGTGAGTGAGCCTAAATGTGTGTTCTAACTTTACGACAGAGATGTTTGCTTGTTCCCTGATATTAACACTTATTTTACTATGAATCGTTCTGACGTTTATTTTTATTTATGGCAGCAAACATGTGCCTGTGTCTTACCATATATTGTTATATAAACTATATCTATACGCACAAATCGTGTGTAACCACCTGTGCAATATCAAGACACGTTTGTGTGGCTGTGCAGCACGCTGCATTTGCTTGCGAGGTTTCACCTAAATCTGTGTACCTTCGCAGCCACTACATCTGCTGACACACTGTGGTTCATATCCCTCATTCTGACGGATCTGTTCATCAGAGTGGAATTCTCAGAGGTCAATGGTAACCTTCTACTTTCTTGGTTTTGTCTCATAGCAGGAGGCTACACACTGCAGGTTTTGCATTTGCCCCCACATTTGCTGCTGCATGCAGCAATCAGGTTGCTTTGACTTGCGAGGATGCAAATTTAAAAGTGACATTGTGTGCTTGCTTTTACCATGAATGTACTTTACTTTGCACTGGGTTTTGTCATCGCCTCGCTGCTGACACCACAGTGTCAAATTGAACAGCACGAGTCCAAGTCAGTCAAACTGTTCACTGCCACAGGACTGATGCTCTGTAATATCTCATCCACATGACAGTAAGGCATTACGTATTTTCTCTATTCAGTCATCTTTTTTTTTTTGTTGATAGGTGGTTATGCTCAGCTGGAGGTATTTTGTAGCTCTATATCAAAAACCTATACATAGTGATTATGTATAAATGTATGTTTTCAATATGGAAACTACTCGCTAAATGTGTGTATACGTGATGACCATGTTAGTGGTTTGCACAAAGTAACTGATATGCACTGAAATGCTGTGTGTGCTCTCCAGGTTGTATTGTGTGTTGATGGCATCAATTGAGGGCCTGCAGATTGAACAGATGTGAGCGCTGTTTAATTTCCCTCCACTCTGCAGTGTTTGGATCCTTCTAGATTTATCCAAAGCATCCAACCATACTGTTGTAAATTCAGAGAATGTGGTGTGCTTGTGTGTGTACTGTTGCTCAGAGTACGAAGACGATGTGATTCTGGTCTGTGGACACGGCAGCGAGCACCTGCCATCCATAATAACAAGAGGGCACTTTTTTTTTTTTACTTCAACGTTTTGTTTTTTGGAAAAAGTCATGCTTATCATTTCTAATAGCATTTACTCTAAAATAATCTACTATCGTTACTGTGGTGAGAAGTGATGTAATGTATTTGAGGTGCATATCGTCCTTTGTCGTGTTTAACAGTGTTTGTGTTTGGATGTGGGTGTGTGTACAGAGTTAAGAGTGGAATACCAGAGTTGTTCCCTTAGGAAGTCTTCTCTTTTCAGTACAAGCAGTGTATTTCCTTACAGGTTCTGAACTAACAGCCACTGTATTCACTCGCTCATGGCTGTAACTGTGTATTTTCTCTCTTGCCTGCCAGCGGCTACGGAAAGGCTTCACTGTATGCGAAAATGCTAACAATACAAGGCAGGACTTTTTTTTTTCTCAAAAAGCACGCACCACCTAAATGAGAATTCCCTTGTAGCAACACTTAACAGATTATTCACCACCTTGACTGAACTACACAGTATGCTCAGGCGCAAATGCATCACCAGATAACATTTCCAGTTTACTGTTGTCTTTCTCAGGCGCAGTGTGGCCTCAGATAGTAGTGTGATTTGAATGTTGGGTGTGAAACTCTTCTCAGCGTTTGCAGATCCACTTGTGATATCTAACCCATAGTTGTTTCCTCCAGTTGAGGGTGTTTGTTACTGAAACTCTCTGATATCTTTACCATTCTTGAGGTATGTGTGTGTGTGTATGTGCGTGTGTGTGTGTGGTATTGTCAGAGGTGATGTGTCAGTATTTCACCCTGTACTACCTACTTTCACTGCTGATGGTCGGCATTCATGTTGACAGGGCAATAGATCAGCGGTCGTACCATCCTCCCCGACACAACACACGCCAGCTGTTGGAGTCTAAACACACGCTGTTTGCCCCAGCCCTCGGAAATTATTTTACCGGCTTAAATGTCTGAAAAGCAATTTGATGGAACACGGAAGAAGAAGAAGCATCAGACTTAAGAAACTCCCAGCTAACTAAAGCTTCTACGCTCTGTTTAAACACATGTAAAATAAGACAAAAAAAAAAAATCTTCATTCACTGCATCAGAAGCAGTAGCTATCTATGTAAGCAAGTGTATCAGGCTGCCTTTGCTTACATGTCAGTGTCATCTCTTAAATGCATTTATTGTGTTATCCAAATGTGCGCAGTAGATACTGTATCTGCATTAACAGTAGGTGACTAGCCAGCGCTTTGTGTCATGTCACGGTTCAAGATGAGATTTTATAGGCAACAAAATTGCTCCTTTTGTGAGGTTGGTGTCCCTTTTTATGGCTATAATCCATAGTAAATAAGAGTCTGTGTTGTGGAACATATTCTGTATGTATTAAAGTGCAAAACATGAAGCTGTAATTCATGTTAATATCCAACGTTCCATATTTTAAGTGCACAGCAGATGGCACATTTATGTATGAAGCAGTTTATGTTGTATGTATGCAAAATAAATGTACGTTGACACAAGTGTTTGTCATTTTTGACTGCAGGCTGTAACTTGATTGCACAACATATAATTTATACACAGTCCTACCTGTAAATGGATCTTACACGACTCAAAATTCAGTTGTGTAGACATTTTACCATCCATTTGTGAATGGAGATGTTTGTTGCTACAACAGAAGTAGGTGCACAAGCACTGAAATCCTTTGTTTTGGCATCAGTATTTTAATCTTTTACCTCAGATTTTATCAGTATAAAACAAATATTCATTAGATATCTGTATTGCGTAACCATATCGAATACCAACCTAAATACTGAGTTTACTCTTATTTGAAAATATTCTAATCATATAATCTGGTCATAATATTTCCTAAATGCTACTTATTTTTTAGAACGATCTTGTTTTTTTTTAAGACTAGTGTCAGCAAATGTGTTGAATTACTCTGGATATTATGTATATATGGTATATCCCTTACCAGATGATGCAACTTCATTTTTCCCCTTAAAAACACTGTAAACCAATAAAGAAATCCAAATAGACATTCTTTCTTTTTTTTTTTTTTTAAATCCATTAATCTATCAGTTAACTATACCATTAAAATGTCCTTAACAATAGCTTAAAATTACTGTTAATAAGTTAATACAATAGCGAAGATTTAAAAAAAAAAAACAAATAAATAAATAAATAGGGTCTTTGTATAAGAAATTGTTTATAGAGATGTTGCTGAAACAAAATTAGGTGTGCATGTACTGAGCATCTTTTAGTTCAGATTTTCTCAGTAGATGACAAATACAGTTGAAATCAGAAGTTTACAGACACTATAAAAAGACACATAATCTTTTTTTTCTCACTGTTTGACATTAACTGTGACTAAACTTTTCCTGTTTTAGGTCAGTTAGGATTACCTATATTATTCCTATTTGCTAAACACCAGAATAATGAGAGAGAGAGAAGTTTTTAGAGAAATTTTTATTATTTTCTCTAAAAAAATAAAAAAAAAAAGTTTATATGCACTAAGATTACTGTGCCTTCAAACTATTTGGGAAAACCGAGATGATGATGTCATGGCTTTGTAAGCTTTTGATAGGTTAATTGACAACATTTGAGTTAATTGGAGGCACACTTGTAGATTTTATGGTTGGTTAATAGAACAATTTAGGGAGTCAGTTTCATACAAGCAAGTCCTTTTTCTTCATTGCACAAAATACTGTATTACCACTGTTTGCCATTAGGGGGCAGTAAAGCAACACTGCGTTAATGTAACCTGTCTGACGGAGCTCAGTAGAAGAAGTGAGCGGACCTCATTGAGGAGTCATGCCACCGGTTGTAAACAAAGTATGAGTCCAGTCTGAACAGTAGAAGAAACGTGTTGTGTTTGTCGTTTTACCACACAGGTTAGTGTCTTCACTACTGCCTCTGTGGAGAAATGACATGTTAACAAGACTGTGCCAGTGAATGTAAACATCTGCCTCAGCCAGCTAGCTAGAAGCTAATGTTAGCTTGATGTTTTCTAGAAGTGTCCACACACCTCTGTTGCTATGGTTACTCTGTTTCTCCAACGTTCCCGGGCACTGCTTTTATGCAGACAAAGTCGTCGTGTATTAAGGGGTGAACTTACATCCTTTAAACGTCTCTTTTAGCAGGTGGCAGGATGGTGCAGCTGCATGTGAAGCGTGGAGATGAAAGCCAGTTTCTTTTCAACACCACAGTGGACGCGCCTCTGGAGACGGTGATCCAGCAAATTACAGCCATTTACAACGGGAGACTCAAAGTGGACAGATTGTGTTCAGGTGAAAACATATCCCCAGTGCTGCCTGCACTCGCTGTAAGGAGGAGAAACTTCAGCAGGCTCACATTTCCTGCTTATTATTGTTTACAAAGAGAGCTGCTTATTGGCAGAGTCTTGCTAGCCTAGTTATGCTATTGTAAATGAATGGCTAAGACTTTAACTCTGCACATCAGTATTGGTACAAGAGTATTTTCGTCCTGCACTAACAACAACAATACAATCATTCAGTCTTGGAGGATGCAGTGACATAGGCTTGCTTGTTCTTCTGTGCAGAGATCCCAGAGCTGGCAGACCATGGCATCGCACTGCCACCCAACATGCAGGGCCTGACAGAGGAGCAGGTTGTGGAGCTGAAACTGAAGGATGAATGGGAAGACAGTTGCATCCCCAGTGGAGGGCCAGTATTCAAAAAGGATGAGATTGGGAGGAGGAACGGACAAGGTGAGGCTCGGGCTCTTGTTTGTAAATGTCATCGTTTACCAGTAAATACAAGCAAATGCATGTTTAATGTTGTCAGAAAAACCTTGACACCTGTGGTCCATTTTTTGGCCATTGTTTGGGGTTTGGAATGGGAATTGCAAAATCTAACATATGTGGACATAGCTTTACTCTGCTTACACCTGTGGAATAAATAAATAAATAAATAAATAATTAAAAACATCTTTTGGAAAAACATTATCTTGTCTGACACCGTAAATCGTATCAACTTGAAAATCGCACAGGAGACAGAGAAGGCCTTGATGTACAAAAGGTCTGAAGGGATTTGGCGTTTCTCAAATGGTTTTCGAATGGCGAGCCGTTAAAGTTCATGAGCTGTCGCTGCTCAGTGCAGCTGCTCATGCGACTCACTGACAGGCTGAGCAGAGAGAGAAACATGGCTCCATCAACTTAAAGCAGGTTTAACTTGAAGAACGGTCAGACGGGCATGAAGTTGCAACGCAGACCAACGACCCGACCAATGCTGCTTGCAGCTTTAATTTTAGTATTTCTTTTATTTTATATGAATACATGCCATAAAAAAAATCTCTTTACCTTCCACCAGCTCCAAATGATAAAATGAAAGAGGTGTTGATGCGAACAGTGGAGGAGGCGAAGGCCCTGATCTCCAAAGTAAGTGTTTTAAAGAACAGTAGATCATCACTTCTTGCTGTATTCACCAAAAGAGTCACAAATTGATTCAATCTCTCTTTTTCCTCCTCCTGCAGAAACAAGCTCAAGCTAGTGTTTGTGTCACTACGGAGATGGTAAAAGAAGCGCTAGATCAACTGAGGGGTGCAGTCATGATTGTGTACCCCATGGGGCTTCCTCCTCATGACCCTATCAGGATGGAGTTTGAGGACCAGGAAGACCTTTCAGGAACACAGGTAAACAGCTCAGACAGCTTTTGGACGCTGGCCACAAAACATAGTTTTGAGTAAACAATAAAGGCTTAGATTACAGTTTCTATTGTTTTTAAGAAGATTATTTACATCTTGAGTCACCAACAGGATCATTAGAGGTTTTGCTTCTTTTCAAATGGTCTCTCTTTTTTGTCTTTCGGGGTTCGTGAAGCTATTTTCACTGTCTGCTTAATTCCTTTTGCCCTCATTCCTCTACCTCTGCCCTCACCATCTGTCTCTGTACCTCAGGCTTCTCTGCAGGTGATCACGGAGGACGAATGCCAGCTCTGGTGGGCTGCCAAAGAGATGCAGAGGGGGAAGAAATTGCAGGACTACGTTGGCAAAAATGAAAAGACAAAGCTTGTGGTCAAAATACAAAAGGCAAGTATTTTCACCAATCTGAAACAAGTATGTTTTGTCTCCTGGGAGAGACAATATGTGTGTCGTTTTATGTTTTAGTTGGTTTTGAGGGTAATTTTTATCTCGTTGTTGCTATGCAATTCAGAAAGGACAGGGGGCACCAGCGAGAGAGCCCCTGATCACGGATGAGCAGCAGAAACAGATGATGATGCATTACCACAGAAGGCAAGAGGAGCTCAAGGTGAGGAAAGCCAAAGCAGGACTCTATGTTCCATGTTCCTGTTTGGGCTGGAAATGCCATCTCACCTTTTCCTCATTACATTTTCAGAAACTTGAGGAGGCAGACGATGACAGCTACCTGGACTCAGAGTGGTCAGACAGAGGGGCTCTCAAAAAACAGTTTCAAGGCCTCACAAATATCAAATGGGGACCAAGATGAAGGCCAGTAACACTCACAATACCGACCGGAGCTGCTTACGGAAGAGCTCTATATGCAGCTGGCCAAGATGCCTTATTGCAATCCTAAAATCAGCTTCCAGTTGTTGTTATTCGAGGTCTTCCAAAGAATATTATATGTACAGCTGATGTGATCTTATTGCAGGAAGTACATGTATTTCTAGAGTAAACAACTGCCATACACTGTAACTGAGCTGCACGTATATATATATATATATATGAAAGAACAGGTAATAATATCACATAGAGGTTGATGTCATAAAAAACCCAATTTATTAGANTAAAATTTAATACGAAGCTCACGGTGAGAGAAGACACATCGACACACACACACACACACACATATATATATATATATATACACACACACTGTAGGAACAAATGCACAAACAAAGAGAGGAACAAAAGAGAGAAGGATGACGGCGCAGGCGAGGAAAAAACGTGAAGGTGATAGACGACGGAGAAAATGGTGGAGATCAGGAGGAAAATCAGGATGACTCAGGAAGTCGGTAGATTCTCATTCACTCCGATTTTACAGAAATGACAAGTGAAAACACTGACTACCGCTGGGTAAGCACCACTGTATCTAAATCTATCCATCTGTCCTCTTTCATCCCCTCCCTCCTCCTCTCGCATCTCTCTAATCTCTAACTTGTATGTGTCAGCAAGGAGTCTGACACTAAGTCAGAGTCATATTCTATCATCCATGCCGACAGAGACGGGACAAACAGGACAGCTACAAGACGGGCTGCGTTTTTATCTAATCTCCTCACTCTTTCAGCCTTTTCCTTTCCCTCCTTCCTTCCTTCCATCCCACTTTTTCCCTAACAGTTGTCAGCTCAGGTGCAGCGAGCATCAATCTGCTAATGGGCGCCGCTCTCTTCACGCCGCAGCCCAAAAAGCCCCAAAGTTTCATTTCATTTACGAGAGAGGAGGCCAGGAAAGGAGGTGGACAAGATGAGTGTGAGTTAGAGCTGCGTGGTGCATCATTTGAGCATCAACGCTGTGATGTGAAGCGAGGCAAATGAACTCTCTTTTTTTTTTTTTCCTTGCTGCTTGATACAAAAACAAAACTCTCATGGTTCTCATTTGCCGTGAATATTCTCCAGGAGAAGTCTGGCGGAACGTTATTTACTCCAATTTAAGGGTTCTTGGAGGTTGCATGCATGTGATTCATGCATGCAGGCTCCACATGTGCACAGCAAAATGAGCAAGAACGGGAGAAAATACCGAAAAAGGAACATCTGGGTGCAAAAAGAAACGCCAGATCTGATGTCATCCGAAGCAAAAACCTGTTTTGGATATGAGGAAGTTTCCAAACGACTTTTTTAAAGCTAAAATTACTCCAATCAGTCTAGATTTGTGCAATGTATGTCACAAAAAATCTAAATATTGCTCTTTCACGCTACTGTAAAGTGTTGTGTATTGTACAAGCGGCTCTAAGCGATGAGTCTGACTCCCTGGATGTAGACTTTGGGTATAATAAGCCATGCAGCCATACATGCTACTGGCTGCTCATTTTACAAAGTTTTCTTTTCCCCTTTCAGCAATCCACCGATTACCGTTTTCAAAATCCACTTTGCTACGGGAAACACCAACAAAGACCTCAGAGCAGCAACCTACAACAATGAAAGTTTCAAGTTTCATCCTTTGCTCCACCCCGTCCGATACGATCGCAATCAGTTTACAGAAGTACAAACAAACCAGCGCTTTGATAATGAGGTGCAGCCGGACCATTCAGTGCTGCAGACCGGTCTGATTTTGCAAGATTAACAGGGACTGACTCTCTCTTGGAGGCAGCCTTGTGTTAACATTCGAGAATTTGCATTCGTGTTTCAGTCCTGGATGTTGCCCCTCGGCCTAATTACACTCTTGTGTTGGTTTATGTCACTGGGCTGTTTGCAAAAGCCCAAAATTGACTTCACATTTGGTTGGAATTAGCTCATGGACACGATCACCAAAGCGCCTAGCTCGAGTTTAAGCTTGAAGACGTGGATATTGAGAGTTTTAACTGACTTCTGGCTTTCCAATTTCATGCACAAAGACTTGTGTTTTGAACAAACTCCAACTTATAAGCCAGCTTTCCACTTCAGGAACGTTCACCTTCGACTGCAACGGTGACTCAGAACAACAACGACGAGTCGCTGGATGTAACTCCAGTTTATGAGCATGTACAAAATAGAACTATGGAGGTTTCTTATGTAGCACATAGGGTAAAATCTGCATTGATGTTTGAAAAGAACACATTTAACCCAGAGTTGGTACTTTTTTCTCCCCTGAAAGAGGTTCTACAGGGTTGGTTCTGGATGCACAAAGGATCGGTCGGCTCTAAACAAGCTCCTGCAGAGGAAAACAATGCCTAGTGCTACCTAATTTGGCTCATCTACAAACCGAATGTGATTTTTACTTGCAGCAACCTGGACCCATAACACCTCCTCCCGCTTCCCACTTCTATTTCTCAGAGTTTACCACCCATCTGGGGATACGCTTCACCTCCGCTCGCCTCAGCGTACCTCCAGTGTGCTGAATATTGCCAAAAAATGTGAATGCAGCAATAGTCGGGGACTGTCATTTGGTACACTGCTGCCTTCTGCTTTGAGATTTAAAAATATCTCTTTTGAAACCAGATGTGCCACCTGCTCACCCCGGCTGCTGTGGAGCTCTTTCGACTAAACCGGCTCCCTGTCTTGTTAACAGCGCTTTGATTCAGCCAATTTCAGGGATATGAAAGGATGCCGTTATGTCTTGGGAGGCCGTTGTTGTGCCTTTATGGATGCTCGGTGTTTACGTGTGCAGCTGGATGAGGAGCGCCGCCGTATGTACGTTTTTTTTTTGTTTTTCCTTCCACGGTTTGTGTGGAAGAGCTGACTGAGGAATGAATCAACGGCGGTTTGACGTTTTCGTCCCCTCCGGCAAGGACGTTCTCCTTCACTTGCTGTCCTCAAACACTTTCTTTTTCAGTCTTTTCTGGCTCTGTTTGACATCACCTGTTCCTCTCGTCTCCTGCACCTCTGCCGCCACCAATCTAGTGTAAACTTGTAATCCCTTCCCCTTCCTTCTCTCCTGTCGCTTACTTCCTTCTCTATCTTAGTAATTATCTCTCCGCCCCGTCCCCTTGTTGCACCCCCTGTCATCCATCTATCTGCCTCTATGTAAAATATCTCCATCTGCTTTGCCTTTTCCCATTTCTCATTCCCTGCCCTTGCTTATCTCACTGCACTGACCCCTTCATCTTTCCCCCTCGTGCCTCCATCTTTCCATCCCTCCCGCCCGGTCGCAGGGGCTGATTGAAATTCAAACCCGAGCTTTAACCGGCGGCTCGTGCGGTTTCGGCGATTTGCTTTCGCACACATTCCTGTCCGGGGCCGTGGAGGTTGCGGGCAATCTGGTGTCGGGTGTTAAGAGAGAAGATAAAGCAACATCAGAGGCCGCGGCGAGCGACTCGTCCGTCCATTAGCTTGCTGTAATGTTTATCATTACCGCTGAGCCGACACCGCCAGCAGTCGCTCTGCTGTCTGTATCTGGTTTGTCTCTCTGAGTCTTTAAACTCCCCTCATGGCCTCCGTGTTCCTTCTCCTCTGCACATTTTTCTTTCTGTCAACCAGACTTCCTCGCCTCTTCCTCTCGCTTTTTACGAGTCGGAGGAACGGCAAAGTGAAAGAGGAAGGGATGAAGGTCAGCGTCTGAGTGGACGGGCCTGTGTACAGTTAGGACTGGGCAATAAATCAATGCAAATATGAATATTTTAAGATCCCAGATTACCTGCACTTTGGTTATCAATTTGCCTTTTCCTGGTCTCCAAGGCCGCATTCAGTTTTTCTGAGATTATTTGAGGGTATCATAATCATAATGTCGAGGTATTTATGTTATGTCTGTCCGAAAAATATAATTTCTTACACCCTTTACCAGAGCAAGAAACTGTAAAAACAGGAGAAAAAGGCTAAATTGTCAACTTTTCTGAAAGTGAGTGAACAAATAATCTGGTTCCAGCTTAAAACTAATGCTAATATTGTGCTATTTTACCAAAATTCCTTTATTTTCCATGTCTTGCTTTAAAAAAAATGGCAAAAATAAACCCGTAATACTAAACAGATGCTGTAAAAAACAAAAAAATCTACACTCCTTTGCACAACTAGAAAGCCATGACTGACTCAGCTGTGACCAACAGTCACATGGCAAAAATTCAGAGTTTCCGACTCTAAAATAAATGCAGCATGGCTCAGAAACAGTGAACAGAGGAGCAAGTTGTTGGACGATACATCCAGCATGGTGAAACATCTTTTCAGTGTTTGTACTGTGTGAAAACCTCAAGTTTGTAATGCAGTTAGTTAATAATCTATGGCATCTGGAGCATCATTGGACACAAAATGTTGTGCATGTCAATTCCAGTTTTTCACCACTTCTGTACGACAAATAATCAAAATAATTCAACTTGTGTTTTTGTCTATTTTTAGGATTTATGTCATTTTAACTGTGTCATGCTGCACAGAAGAGTTTTATGTCCTTCTTCATGGTTGTTCTGTTTCCATAAAGGTGCAGGACTTCATATTGCAGTGAAAAATTAACCCACAGTGAAGAAAAATGCCACAGAAGCAAAATAAACCACCCAGAAACAGGTTAAAGTTTAGAGGGTTATAATATCAAAGATGTCCCTGCTCATGTTTCTTCACATCAATGCAGATTCTCAATCAAATTTCTAGAAAGTTTACAGCATGTACACGACATAATACCACCTACTGTATAATCCTTGAACAATAACAGCTTCATAGTTTCAATAGCAAAAACAATCCAGAAGACTGCCCTAAAGCATGAGAATCTTCATCTTTTCTTGGTCTTACGTGGCAGTAAAGTAAATATTTGGTGATTTAGGACAAATCAAATAAATCAATGGATTAACTGCGGTTTTTGCATTAGATTCGTTGCACTGGAAGTCTCCTAAAACTGGAGCAAATGGAGGTAAAGCTTCGCTGCCCGCAACATTATTAATTGTTAACAAAGAGATGATAAGCAGATGGTGTTTGTGTGTTTGCGCCCGCACGCATTAGTGTGTTGGAAAGCGGTGGGCGACCAGACGACAGGTTACATCCACATTTTCAGGTGTCACAGCTGCTCCTCATGTGCACATGTGTTTCGGCGTGTGCGCGCCGCTCGGTTTCATGTGAATTTGTTTGCTGCGCTCGTGTGTGTGCGCGCGTGTGTGTGTGTGTGTCGTATCCGCGAGGCTGTCTTGCGCAGGACAGCTGCTTCAAAGATGGCAGTGTGAGCTTTTGTTCTGTCTCT